CGTGGGCATGGTGGGCGTGGCTTAGTTGGCCTGCACCACAGGGGAGGAGACATTTTTGCCCTCCCTGGCCTCTGGAGGCTTTCCTCAAGCCTCCAGGAGGGCGAAAATGGTCTCCCTAGGCTCCGGAGGCCAGAAAGAGGCCTTCCAGAGCTCTTCCAGATCTGGAGCTTTCTAAAGAAAACTGATTGTCAGAAGCAACCCAGCAATAAAACCCAGTTAATAGAAGCAATCATTCAAACTTGGTTTCACATGATAACAGCTGCAGAACTAAAAGACTTGGTTCACTCCATGGGAAGACATTGTAAGGCTGTAATTCATGCTAAAGGTTACCCAACGAAGTATTAGCAGACATGGTGATAATTTTCATATATCCGTTTTTTTCTAGTGTTTCACTTTTGTTCTTTATACTGTAACTGCTATTCTAATAGCAAATCCTTCATAAAAGTTATTGCGTTACATTCTTGATTAAATTATCTTTCCATTGATATATAATTTTATGGTACTACTCAAAGAAAAAAAAGTGGTGTTATTAGCTAGTTTTAGAAAATACACTTTTCCCAAAAGGTTTCCACAATTTTGGCCACTACTGTAATGTTAAAAATTACCATTCTATTAAAAACGCGGAATCTTTTGCGTGTCTCACACACAAGGAGATGCAGGTGACCCTGGGACCAGTTGTGTCCCTCCACTGGTTGAGGCTATGAAAGAAAACTACGTATGCGCTCAGGCAGCAGGATCTGCTCACCTGGACTTAGGTAGTGTTGACACTCACTCTGCCATTCCCTGCTCCATATTCAGATCAATTCCGCCATCGGCGAGGCTGCCGCCCTCTGCAAAAGTAGGCTTGGCCATTGACCTCATGGATTGGTAACTGGCCCCATAGACCATCAAGCTGAACACAAAGGCAACCTAAAAGGAGAATATGAAAATCACCCAGGAAAAAACAGTAAAACCCTTCGGAGATACTCCTACTTTGGCGATACTACTTCAGTAAAGTACACAAAGATTGAGAAGTACACAAAGGTTTGTACTTGGCAAAGATAGACATGAAAGCAAATATATTTTCTGGCTGGTGCAATATTTTTAGCCAGGATTACTGGGCACAATTGGATGCAAGCACTTCTGCTAAGGATTAAGACAGCTCTAATGGAAAAATGGTTTACTGATGGTTATATGTGGAGCCTCCCAAGTTTATAAACATGATACAGGATCTCAGCTGTGGAGGATTAGTGGGGACAGGGGGATGGCAGTTGAATGCGAGTCTCATATTCTCCTTCTTCTTGTGCCATACATGATCTGTCCCCGTCTACACACACACACAAACACAGCCAGCCGAGGGTTAAGAAAGTACTTGGCACGCACACAGGTCGTTATCTCAAACTTGGCAACAATATAAGCACTGTCTGCCAACAGCTTTACTGCAACAGATAACATAAAATTACATACGCATTGCAAATAGTCCAGCAAAACAATATCCCTTCGGCAGCTTCAGACGTTGTTCAAGTGACTAGCCAGAGTTAGTTTTTGTTCGTCACGGAGTTTTACCAGCCACCACCCTCTGTTATATAGTCTCTGGGGTGTGGTCCAGTGACTCAGTTCTAATCCCTAGCACGCCTCCTTAACTGCTGCAACCGTTTATCACGCCTTCGTTGGCGTGCATCCAGGAACGACGGCTCTCCTTCTTCGCTCTCATCAGAGACACCTGACTCCTGGCTAATCTCCTCTCCCTCGGCCGGCACCTGAGACAGTGCCAGAGGGGAGGGGCCTGGAGAGGGAGGCCTGGCTGACTCCTCTCCCTCATGTTCGGAGCCTTCTTCCTCCGATGAGATAGGCTCAGAGGGCGGGGCCACAACACCGTCATCAGAGGTTGGCGATCATGTTGGCAATCCTATTTTTGTCAACAGCCGCATGAAAAAGTGCTGCTGAGTTTTGTCCAAACCAGTCCCTTAGATTTTGAAGCCATGATGTTCTTCTTCTGCCTGGACCTTATTTGCCTTCAATCTTTCCCTGGAGGATTAAGTGAAGGATGCCATATTTTTCTGGGTGTCGCATCACCTGTCCAAAATATTCTAACTTTCGCTTTTGAATGGCTTTGATGATTTCCCTTTGCTTTCCCAGGCAGCTTATCACCTCCTCATTTGGATATTATTCTCATATTCTCCCCGCTAATATTTTAAACAGATTGATAAATAACTTTCTTTCTTTCGATGAGTGAAACATAAAGAACACTCCCGAATACCCTTTTCCCCCCCTAACTCTCAACGTGGAACACACATTGACAGTCCCTGACTCAAAAGAAATGACGGTCTGAAAATATATAGAACTCACCCACGTCCAAATGGTGGCTGTTATGTAAAAGATCCCAAGGTTGACAATTCCGTAAATGGCCTGGAAGCAAGGGATATCAAAATAAGAGAGAAAGAGGAACAGACATTGAGCTCTTTGTTTAAAGCCATTTCGCAAACTATAGACAACTTTAAGACGTGTGGACAATCTCCAAGATCCCTTCCAACACTGATGATGTTCTATGTTCTAACTCCCGGGAATGCTGCCCCGGGGAATTCTGGGAACTGAAGACCCCATATCTTCCAGTCGCCAAGGTTGACAAACACTGGCCTAAAAGTATTCTAAATCTAAACATGTAAATCACCCAATCAAACTTCAACTCCAGTTTTTACCTTCAGAAATAGGACTTCATGGACTGAGACTTGAGCAGCTACTGCTGCCACCAATGGGGAGAAAGCTACAACTGCAGCTTTTTTTAAAAAAAATTTAAGATTGATTTAATATTGTCATTAAGATTGATTTAATATTGTCGTACAACAAAATTAAATGCCATCTTCAGTGTACATCATACATAAGAAAATTATAAAAATAAAACAAAAAGACACATTCTTCACATTCTACGCAATTGAACTGAAAACCCCTGATATTGCATTAATATTGCATTATACGGTAGAATTCAATATACTTACTGCTCTGGGAGAAAAGCTGTTTTTCAGCCTGTTTGTCCTTGTTTTTATTGTCCTGTACCATCTGCCAGATGGTAACAGTTCAAAAAAAAGGGGGGCCCCAGGATGAGATGGATCTTTAAGAATGTTTTGAACTTTCTTAAGATCTATAAAGTTCTTCCAAAGAGGGGAGAGGGGGGAACCAATGATCCTCTGGGCAATGACGTTAACTCTCTGGAGCGTTGTCCTATCTGCCACCGTGCAATTGGCAAATCATACAATTGACAAATCATACCGCACATACAGTGCAGTAAGTTAAAATACTCTCTATGGTGCAGCGGTAGAAGGCCGCCAGCAGTTTTTCATTCAGTTGTTGTTTCCTGAGAAATCTCAGGTAGTATAATCTCTGCTCGGTCCTTTTGACCAGTGCTGCAATGTGAGCTCCCCAGCTCAGGTCCTCTTTTATTATAACACCCAGAAACTTAAAAACTGGCCACTTGCTTCACTCGGTCTCCATTGATAAGCAAGGGCTGGATTTCTGATCTATTCCTTCTATAGTCCACTATAAGCTGATAACTAAGAGCCTTGGTGGCACAGCAGACTAAAGTGCTGTTAAGTAGCACTAGCTGCCTACAATTACTGCAAGTTCAAATCTCACCAGGCTCAAGGTTGACTCAGCTTTTCATCCTTTCGAGGTAGGTATAATGAGGACCTGGATTGTGGGGGCAATAAGCTGACTTTGTATAAAAAAGAACACCGCTTTGGGAGAGGGGGGCGAAAGCCCTACTAAGCAGGTATATACAAAAGTATGAAGGCTATTGCTTTTTTTTTTTTTTTAATTTGATTTATATGCCGCCCTTCTCCGAAGACTCAGGGCGGCTTGCAATGCGTTAAGCAATAGCCTTCATACTTTTGTATATTTATACAAAGTCAGCTTATTGCCCCCACAAACTGGGTCCTCATTTTACCTACCTTAGAAAGGATGGAAGGCTGAGTCAACCTTGAGCCTGGTAAGATTCAAACCTGCAGTAATTGCAGGTAGCTGATGTTAATAATGATGTTAATGTTAATTAACCGATGAACCAAATTGGTTTAATCATCTTTTTTTTTTTATTTATTTATTTATATGCCGCCCTTCTCCGGAGACTCAGGGCGGCTTACAATGCGCTATATTCACATTTTATATGTATGTTATTTTAACTGTTCACTGCCCTGAGTTCTTCGGGAGAAGGGCGGTATAGAAATTGAATGAATGAATGAATGAATGAATGAATGAATGAATAAATAAATAAATAAATAAATAAAATAACAGTGCTTTAGTCTGCTGCGCTACCAAGGCTTAACGCATTGTAAACCGTCCTGAGTCTCCGGAGAAGGGTGGCATATAAATCCAATCAATCAATCAATCAATCAATCAATCAACACCAGTTATGATGACAAAGGTTTTGGCTCAGAATACCCAGCCTTTCAGAAGCGCAGATCTTCCTCCCTGAGCAAAAAATAAGCAGGCTGCCCTGGCTCATCTCCCACCCACCCTCCGAGATCCGGCGCCCCCATACTCACATTCGCCCCTAGGATGATTCGTAGGTAGAACTTGAGCGTATCCTTGTTTTCTTCAAATATCTGCTTTTTGCCTTTGGTTCCTACCTTTCCTTTGGGCTGTGGGGGGGGGGGGAGGAGAATAAAAGGCAATTTTTAAAAATAATAATAATTTTTTTTTTTAAATTATCACATTCCTCGATCTTGATTTAACTATCCCTCTCTCGCCCCGGCTTGGTCCCGTCTCCCGATGCCCGACTCACCGCCATGACGACTCCCCGGCCAGCCTAACAGGGCACGCAGGCAAGTCCACCACCAACTCAACACAGCGGGACTTCCGGCGCGGGGACATTGGCGTCACAAATCAGCGCCGCCCAAGACACGCTTTTCTCTTTTGAGTGCCTACAGTTCCCGACAAGCATCGCGGCCGTCGTCTTGGGGATCCTGGAACGCGGGGGAGGAGGAGGAGGAGCTGGTGGGCGGGGCGTGGGCGGGGCCGTCCGTTGGAGGCGGCGCCGTTTCTTTTATCCATCTCTTGTCTTTCGTTCGTCTTATGACCTCCGGCCCGGCTCTGGCCGGCGATGGACGCCTGCAGGCTGCCCGTAGAGGTAAGGGCGAGCAAGGACGCGGATATGCTGCTTGGGTGGAGTCCTCCCAGGTTTGCTCCGCACTTGACCCGCATGATTGCATTCAGACGTGTCTGCAAACGCGTGTCAGGCATTTTTTTTTCCGGCTGGTTGCTCTTTAAATGTCCCTATTTCTCTTCCTCCGGGTTATTATCATTTTTTTTCTTCTTTGATCTTTGAGCCGCGTGCATCATTTGCAGGTGCTTCCCCATAAGGAAAAAAAAAAAAACTTCCCAACGGTTAAAAGATGCGCAGGGGAGCGAAACAAGCCTACCTTGCAGGGGTGGCGTGTTCTCCATCGCGACCGGTTTTGAAGAAGAAGCCGGGCAGCCCGGCTTCTGGATGGTGGTGTGGCTTGCCCAAAGTTGGACTACTAGATGTGGCTTGGGATGCTTTGCTTTCCAGCTGCAGGATTTGATGATATTCAATCTGGCTGCTGCAGGGATTTATGCTATATAGTGTTTTAAAAAGGGGACAAAGGAGGATTATTGGTTGTCATGGCTGGAATGATTGTTCTGATTATTGCTTATAAAGCAATATTTTTGATTTTTAAAAAAAATGCTTGGGGGAAAAACTGCAGTGCAGAGTCCTGGAGGAGGAAAATGGGATGGTGCTGAACCAAATGCTTAAGGAGATAATTATATGTGGATGCTATATTTAAGGTGCATCTGGAGCTGCCTAAATGGGGGAAATGTGTATTTTGCTCTTTGTAGACTCTAAATAACCTGGGGGGGGGGGCCACTCGGATTCTTGCTTCTTTGCCAGCAAAGAAGTCTGTTCCTGAAACGGATTCGTAAAAGTGCGAGACCCACGTGGGATTTCAAAAAAAGAAAATAGCAAGGTTTAGAGGAAATTGTAAACATTGCAAACCCTCTTATGCAGAACCAACACAGGGGCTGATGAGATTTCTTGCCCTGGGAAATCAGGGTCCTACTATTATTATTTTTAATTGCCGAGGAATAAAATAATCGATGAATATACGGTACATCCTAACTTCATCACATTTTCACAGTACTCCATGATTCTTTGAGACAGGATTTGAAACCCTGGATTTGAGCAATACGTGAACCCAGATTCAGGGTTCAAGACACCCAATTCTTTTCTTTGATTTCCAGCCCCCCTTTTCCCCTTTTCTGAAAATCAACGAGCAGTCACAAGACACAATGAAAACTCCTTAACTTCACAACACATGGATTCAACCATAGTTTCAGCTGGGAAACTGTGGTGAGCATCCTGGATCAAGCTAAATCCAAAAACATTAGTGAATTCCTGTGACAAATCTGCCATCAACCTATAGATACATAGAGAGACAAACCACATTTATACACCATTTAAAAGAGATAATAAAGTTAAGAAGGAAACAAAAAGATCAGAACATATCCTCTCCAGCAACCAACACCCAGATAAGCAGGGATTAAAACCAGACAAACAGCCAAGCAAAAAAGAATACCCTATTCAAAGAACGGCCAAGGAGAAAACCACATCCTCACCAACACTAGCAAGGCAATATACTGTATATAAACAGGGAGTAAACCACACCCACTAGGTAATGATTTTACCTAATTAGGTAGTGAAATATCTGCAAGAAAACAACCAAACTCAGAGAGCACCAAGGACCCTACCATTCAATCCTGAGCTACTAATATTTCCTTCTATTTTTGTTTTTTACTTTCTTTGATCAGAGTGAAATTCTTCCAATTGTTATTATAGTTTAGATATAGATCTAGTTTACTGCTGCTGGTTCTGTTCTTGCATTGGAAATCCTTTTAAATGAAAGAATCCACCTGTTTGTACATGAAAATTGGCTTATGTCATGTTTAAACAACAGGACAATTTTCACATTCATCAAGGAGTAGGTAACTAGATAACCCAAACCATAGCATCAGGGTCAAGGAATGAATGAAGATTGTGTTGTGGCCAGCCAGTGGAGCTGGTGGCAGACTCAGAAAGAGAGGAGGTTGGGGAGGAACATGGGCCGGTCCTGGAGTCTGGGTAAGGCTCTGATGAGGGCTCTGCGTCAGAGGCAGAGATGTGGCCAGGGCCGTCTGACAGTTGTCAGCTGCCTTCGGAGTCGGACATCAGTGGGGCAGAATAACAGCTAGAGCCTGTTCCCAGTGTGCGCATGCGCAGAGCTGCCAGGAGAAGGGAACAGCTAAGGAACAAGGGTCGACTCAGGAGTAAAGCCACAGGTGAACAGTGAATCGCCCCTCCCATAGGGAATAAAGATGAGCGAAAGGGGAGTGGAGTTTGCAGGAGACAATTAATTCGCTTAATTGGTTCATGACAGAGACTCCTTGCCAAGTTTTGAAGATATCGGCCTGGCAGCTCCCCAAGCCAGATAAGGTCTGTGACTGTAAATTCTCCCTTGAAAGACTTTGCTGGATGTGAATGAGAAGAATTCATAGTATTTAATAAAAAGGGGTTTTGTCAGGACAAGTTTAATATTTAATAAAAAGGGGTTTTGTCATGCTCTTGGGAAGCCTAGGTCAGAACAGATTGATAACCACATTAATGGGGGATAAAAATAATTTCCTCTAATACTAGAGCTTATGACCCCTGGGGCTTCGGTTGGCTCCTGACCTTCGCACCTTCCGCCGCGAATTAAAAACATGGCTGTTCACATCGCCCAGCCTGGACTGAGGAGTTTTTTAATTATTTTAATGGGTTTTAATATATGTTTAAACTATATATTTATACATTTATGTATTTTATGTCTTTTACTGGCTTTGTTTTTACTTATTGTGAGCCGCCCTGAGTCCTATGGAGATAGGGCGGCATATAAATTATATTAAATAAATAAATAAATAAATTCCTCGGACAGATACACAACTGTCTGAAACTGGAATTCTGAAGTGGGTAATAAAATCCTATTTGGAAGGCATGGAGGTAATACACTGAATCAGTCCATCAAAAACTGCCTAATGTTGCTGTAGGAACTTAGCGCGAAAATAATCATTTTACCATAGCAAGGTTTGGGCCACAAACTCTCATCATGTAACGGAAACTGCTTTAAAGAAAGAAAACCAACCCCAGTCCAGACCCCATTTCCTGAAGTGCTTTGTAGCACTCTCCCCTCAAAACATTTAATAAACATGTCACTGCATATATGTAAAAAAACAAACAAACACCTGACTCCTTTTTTAATTTCCCATTGAGATAATTTGTTGCCTTTTGAGCACAATTGCTTTTAAAAACATGTCTCTTTTTATTTTAAAACAAGCACAGCTGTTCTAGGATGAAAGCCGATCCTTGAAAAAGTTGCTTCGCAAAATGATTTTATAGAATTTTTACAAAACACTGTTAAACATCATTTTTTTATGATTTCTTTGTTCAAAACTTCATAAACTATTTAAGACTTGATAGATAGAAGATAGAATAACAGATCATTTAGTTGTTTCTATAATTAGCTTACTGGGACGCGGTGGCTAAGTGGCTAAGACGCTGAGCTTGTCGATCAAAAGGTCGGCAGTTCAGCGGTTCGAATCCCTAGCACCGCGTAATTGGGTGAGCTTCCGTTACTTGTCCCAGCTTCTGCCAACCTAGCAGTTCGAAAGCCCGTAAAAAATGCAAGTAGAAAAATAGGGACCACCTTTGGTGGGAAGGGAACAGCGTTCCGTGTGCCTTTGGCGTTGAGTCCTGCCGGCCACATGACTACAGAGACGTCTTCAGACAGCGCTGGCTTTTCGGCTTTGAAACGGAGATGAGCAGCGCCCTCTAGAGTCAGGAACGACTAGCACATATGTGCGAGGGAAACCTTTACCTTTACCTTTATAATTAGCAATATTAACAAAAATTCTGACCTGGTGCTAAAATAAACTGGAAATTGTCTGATTCAGGCATTGCCAGTTCCATGAGCTCAAGGATTGGAGCTTTGTAAACAGTGGCCCATAGCTTACTTTAATTATTTCTCAAAATACTTTTTGGTTTTGATGGTGACATCTTATCTAGATCAGAACAGGTTTATGGCAAATCCCAACATGGGTAAACATAAAAACTCATAAACCTCAATCCTGAACGAGAGAACATCCCATCCAGGTAAAACAAACAAGTGCTGTAATTAAATTGTTTTCTTATGGATAGTGGCTGCTGTTCTCAGACTTGTTCACACGTACAGTGGCTTGTTGTTGTGCAGAGACAATTACAGTAAATTATTTACTTTTTTATAGCTTTATCACATCCGGCTCTTCGTAAAAATCAGCAGCCTGTGGCATTTCATTAGCAAATTAAACTGAAAAAAAGTGGATAATAAGATTCGTAGAAGGCTTCCTTCTTCTTCTAAACCACGTGGTTTCACATTATACGAACATCTGAAATTAACTCCACTCTCGCTATATTAAGCCAAAGCAGAAGAGAATCGGATGTTTCCTTTTTCAACAGTTAACATACTGTTCAGATAGTCAAAATGTAGAGGCAAATTAGAGGCAGTCTTTTTACATCAAAAAGCATTGCTCTGGATTTTATGGCAATCAATGTTCAAAATATTTGTATATCTGAAGACTTCCGTCCCATGATTCAGTTGGTGTCAATTTAAATTCTGGAAGAAATACAGGTAGTCCTCGACTTACAACAGTTTGTTTAGTAACCGTTCAAAGTTACAATGACACCAGTGGTGGGTTTCAAAATTTTTTATTACCGGTTCTGTGGGTGTCGCTTGGTGGGTATCGCTTGGTGGGCGTGGCAGGGGAAGGATACGATAAAATCTCCATTCCCTCTCCAATCCAGGAGAAGGTTACTACAAAATCCCCATTTCCTCCCGATCAGCTGGGACTCGGGAGGCAGAGAATAGATGGGGGCGGGGCCAGTCTGAATTTTTACTACCGGTTCTTTGAACTACTCAAAATTTCCGCTACCGGTTCTCCAGAACCTGCTGAAACCCACCTCTGAACGACACTGAAAAAACTGTTTTTCACACAACTGTTGCAGCATTCCCCATGGTCACATGATCAGAATTCAGATGCTTGGCAACTGGTTCATATTTATGACCGTGGCGGTGTCCTGTGTCCACCGTGATCCCCTTTTTGTGAACTTCTGACGAGCAGATGCAATGGGGAAAGCAAAATTCACTGGACGACTTTGTTACTAATTTAACAACTGTGGTAACAACTGTAACGAGAATGGTCGCAAAACGGGGGCAAAACTCACTTTACAAATGTCTTGCTTAACAACAGAAATGTTGGCCTCAGTTGTGGTCGTAAGACGAGGACTGCCTGTTGTCATAGGACCGTGATGGCAAACCTATGGCACGCATGCCACAGGTGGCACATGGAGATATATTGGTGGGCAAGCAAGCATTGCCCTAGTTCAGCTCCGAAACTAGTTGGGAAACAGACTGTTTCCGGCCTCCAGAGGGCCTCCGGAAGGTGGGGAAGGCCGTTTTTGCCCTCCCCAGGCTCCTTGGAGGCTTTCTTGGAGCCTGGGGAGGGCAAAAACGGCCTTCCCCACCCTGCACACAGGTGCTATGGAGAATACTCCCCCTCTTCCTTGCGACAGACCTTCAAGTATTTTACTGTGTCCAAATGTCAACATTTGTGATTGTCATCCCGACCAATGTATTCAATTTTCACTTCACAAGAGCACGATGCGAGGAAGCGTTATATTTTTCCAGTCCTTCCTCCATTAATTAAATTCTCTTGCCTCCAATGATGGAGCGTAACAAGCATCTCAGCATGAGGATACGAACTTTTAGATGACGTTTCCCATCGGGTCAATTTAATCTCTTTGCAGTATGAACAGCTAAATTGGCCTCTGCTTTCTCGTTTATAGGTCATCGCTTACATCTTGAGCTTCCTGCCTATTTCTGACAGAAAAGAGGCGTCTCTGGTTGACCGAACCTGGTATTTTGCAGCCCAAGACTCTCTGCGACAGGTAAAACCTTTGTGGGCTTAAACACACTCACCTACGCTGCCAGGGTTCCAACGGATGCCCTAATTAAATCATGAGCCTCGAGCCAAGCTTCAAAAGAAATCCAGTTATTTATTAGGAGCTCCATGTCGGCACATACCCAAATGAAGCCAACTCTGACCCCACGTAATTTACCGCCCTGATCATGACCCTGTTTCCCTCCTCCCCCCCAGCATGTGTCATCAATCACATTCGCCAATGGAGCAATTTCGCGGGTTGTAGAGATTACTCCCCTCAGGGCGCTGTGGTAACCCTGGGAGACAGCCTTGAGAAAGATATGCCTTGAATGTGTGCTCCTGCCTTTTGAGCCAACCGGAAGTTGGCAAATGGGCCATTTCTGGCCTCTGGAGGGCCTCCGGGAGGGTGGGGAAGGCCATTTTCGCCCTCCCCACACTCCTAGAGAGGCTCTGGAGCCAGATGAGAGAGAAAATCGGGCCTTCCCCACCACCACCCCAAAGCCCTCCGGAGGCAGGAAACAACTTGTTTCCCTACTTCTAGGGAAGTAGGCCCAGAAGGCCTGAAAATCAGCTGGCACGCGCCGGAGCTGAATTCACATGGCCACTCATATGGCTACGCATGCCACCTGTGGCACGTGTGCCATAGGTTCACCATCACGGTCCTATACCATTTCAGACAAATATGCTTGTTGGAAGTCAACTCGGAAGGTCACAAATTGTGATTCCAATATCACCTGGATTGCGATCACGTGACTGTGGGGAGGGATGGTGATGCAGCAGCTGTAACTTCAAGGATGCGCTGTAAGTCACATTTCCCCAGGCTTTGCTACCTGTCGTTAAACGAACTATCGTAAGTTATGGGCTACTTGTACGTCATCATGATGGACCCTGCTTTGCTTCAATCCTAGGAGAATGTCCTCTACAACATCCCAGCTACCTCTGCTTCCCTCGGTACCATCCGGTCCTTGGCCCAAAGGCGCGTATGCAACCTCAAGATGGCGAACCTGGACAGCTCTACCACTTCCCGGGACGTCATCAAATGCATTGCCAACTACCTGGGCCCTCATCTGCGTAGTCTCTGCCTGAACGGCAGCTGCCTGACCGAAGCCAGCTTTGAGGAGCTCCTCCTGGCTTGCCCCAGCCTCGTGGCCCTGGACCTGAGCAGTTGCAACAGCATCTTCATGTCCGGCACCCTGCTCTCCAAAAAAGAGACTTTATTGCAAGCCCAAGAAACGCTAGCCAATTTGCGGGAACTGAACCTGTCCAGCGTGAGGTACTTGTCCGATCTCACTTTCAACCGCCTGGCCAGCTGTTGTCCGCAGCTGGCCAAGCTGGTCCTGGCCCGCTGCCACCTTACCTTTGAGTTCGATAGCTACAGTGGCTCCCACGACTACAACTCCTCGGCCCTGCTGTCTTTCCGCAACCTCCTGCATTTTCTCAGCCGGCGAGCAACTTGCGTGAAATCTCTGGATTTGAGCGGCACCAACGTTAACAGCCAGGCGATGAGGACCCTGGTCCAAGTGGAGAACCTGCAGCTGCAGGAATTCATCTTGCAGGCTTGCCGGGATCTGACCAACGAGGCGGTGAGCATCCTGTGTCAGCACCAGCCTCATCTGACCACACTGGACCTCAGCGGCTGCTCTGAGCTATCGGACCGGGCTGGGCTGGCCATCAATTCCCGCCTTCTAGATCTTCGGTGCCTGCGCCTGGGGAAGCTCCCACGAATAACCGATGTTGGCTTCCAGGGAATGTCACACCTGAAGCATCTCCAGATCTTAGACGTGTCTGAATGCAGTCTGGTGAGCTGCAGTGAGCTCGCGAAAGCTTTTGGCGCTAACGCGAGACCTCCCAAGCTGAAATCTTTGAACATTGCCTTTTGTTCATTACTAAGGGTAAGTTCGGTGAAGGTTCTTTAATTGATTTCTTTTAGGACAGCGGTACGGTTCAACTACTGGTCCAGACACTGCTAAACCATAATGAGCTGGTTTGGTTTTAGCTTAATATAACATGTGGATCCCGTGTTAAGTGCTTTCTTCACTAAACTATTAAATAATTCACTTCATGCAATCCAGGTGGTCCTAGACTTATGGCCATAATTGAGCTCTCAATTTCAATTGTGGATGGCGTAAAACAGGTCATCACACGACCAGACCCTATTTTACGACTGTCGTCAAGTGAACACAGGAGTCGCATGAAGTAAACCCTTCGTTTGCAATGGGGTGTTTTTTTGCTGGAAACTGAAAGTAAACACTAGTTTCCGGGGGAAAGAAATAGCAGTAGCACTTAGACTTATATGCCACATCACAGTGCTTTTACAGCCCTCTCTAAGTGATTTACAGAGTCAGCCTATTGCCCCCAACAATCTGGGTCCTCATTTTACCCACCTCGGAAGGATGGAAGGCTGAGTCAACCTTGAACTGATGAGAATCGAACTCAGACGTGAAATGCTCCCGGTTCGGACCGGATCGCCCGATCTAGTAGCGATGGCGGCGGGTGGTTCGGAAAACCGGTAGCAAGAATTCCTGCCCACCCCCTATTCCCAGCTGAGCCGCGCGATCATGAGAGGCTTTTTTTTTTTTTTACTTTTAAAAGCAATACTTTTAAAAGTAAAAAAAAAGATTGCGCGCCACAGCTGATCACCCCTCCTCGTGCACTGTTCTACTTACCGCATGCCTGCATGCACATACCAGACAAGCAATCATTCTTCACCTCTACACGGAGAACTACAATGCAGATACATGAGGAGAGAGAGAGAGAGAGAGAGACGCCCTCTCATGGCCTCCTTTATATAGACAGCAGCAATAACGCTGCTGACTCATCCTCAGTCATAAAAGGGCAATAACCTTGCTGACTCATCCTCAGTTCATCATCCTGGTCCACAGCATTACAACGGCTGGTCAGCTTTAAATCTTCATTACCCTGACAAAGTCCCTTTGCTGGAATCCATCATGACTTCAACCAGTCCCTATGTCACTGGTCCTAAATGGAGGATTACCTATATGTGAAACTTCCCCAACGGAAATTCACGGAGAGCCATGCCCTCCCTGAAGCCCCTGTGGGAAGTTCAAGTGTAACATGAACCCAATCGTCTTTCCTTCTTCTTCTTCTTCTGCAGGACAGCACAGTGCTCTCTCTGGCCGAAGCTCTAAGCAAGAACCTGCGGGTTTTGGATCTGTCATCTTGCGTGTCGCTTTCTAACCGGAGCGTCCAAGCCATCGCTTCCAGCCTTTTACTCTTGACAGTCCTCCGCTTGGCCTGGTGTAAAGAACTGACCGATTGGGGCTTGCTGGGGATCGAGGAGCCCAGAGAGGAGCGTGAAAGCGCCAAAGAGGTGAGAGGACATCATTGATAGAAATACACAATCATAGAGTCATAGGGCTGGAAGGGATCTTGGAGGTCTTCCAGTCCAACCCCTTCCCCAAGGCAAGAGGCTTTATATCATCCCAGACATATAGACGTCCAGTCTTTTCTTGAACACCTCCAGTAATGGAGCACACCCACAACTTCTGGAGGCACATTGTTCCATTGATCAATTGTTCTCACCGTCAGCTCACAAACAAAACTTTTTTGTCTAATGGCCGAGCTCATTTTTTGGGTGGTGAGCACTTGCACAAGCACCTAAAATGTTTACAAAACCTAACTGAGGAAAAAAGAGCTTTCCTCCATGGTGACAATGGGAAAGTTACCCTGTGAGGAGAGGTTGAAATAGCTACAGGAGTGGCCTGCAAGCCGCCAATTCCCTTTTCATGTTTTGGAGGCCTAGCATCAGTGCTCCTGTATCATACTTCATTATGGTCCTTTCCTGGATGTCCGCTAGATCCGTGGACTTTCACTTCCCCAGCCAATGTGGCCATTAGGGCAGACCTGAGTAGGGGGAAGGCGACCGGGCCTGTTGTGGTATGCTAGCAGCCTGCAGAGCTGGCAGCAGAGTCGGACAGTGAGGAGGCTGGGGAGGAACATGGGCCAGTCCTGGAGTCTAGGGAAGGCTCAGACGAGAGCTCTACATCGGAGGCAGAGAAAGAGCCAGGGCCATCTGGGAGTTATGTGCTGCCTCCGGAGCCTCCAGAGTCTGACGTCAGCGAGGCAGAGGAACAGGGGGAGCCTGTTCCCAATGCGTGCATACGCAGAGCTGCAGAATGCAAGAACAGTTAAGACAAAAGGGGCGACTCGGGAGTAAGGCTTGGAGATGATTGGCCCCTCCCATAAGACATAAAGGAGGAGCAAAGGCACGTCAGCCTTTGCAGGAAGCAACTTTGTTCATGCGGGTTGGTTTAAATTCTGAAGCTCCGTTTTGACTCTGTGCTTCATGTGGCCTTGCAAAGCTAATTGCCAATTAGGTCTTTGGCAGCGTGCCAAGGGAGATAAAGGCGGGTGCTTATCAGCCTTATCCCGAAGGACCGTGGCAGACTTCTGTCGGACTCTTTACAAACTATTTGTGACTCATCAGAGGCTGGGAATGAACAGAATTCACAGCCGTTGAAATAAAAAGAGGGTTTTTGGGACTAATTGTGTGCTTTTCACTGTCTGATGAAGCCTAGGTCAGAACAGGACCATCTAAGCAACCGAGAAAGGTTTCGCCCCCTTTTACCCACCCTTCCCGACTTGCTTTGACAGAAAGATGCTGGCCCAAAGTTCAGCAGGAACTTTGGCAACATGGGGTTTTTCCTGCCCCCACCCCAGGCTCTGGAGCAGGATAAAATGATGGTCATTAATCTCAACCAACAGAAGGCCCAAGAGCAGCGCCAAACCTCTCTGAACGCCTTGACCCGTCTGCAAGAGCTGGATCTGACCGCCTGCGGGAAGCTGACGGACATGAGCATAGCCAAGGTAAATCATCAGCCTGATTTACACCTCGCACCAGTGATTGGCTTCAAATCTTTTTTACTACCAGTTCTGTGTGAGTGGCTTGGTGGGCGTGGCAGAGGAAGGATACTGCAAAATCTCCATTTCTTCCCGATCAGCTGGGACTTGGGAGGCAGAGAATAGATGGGGTCGGGACCAGTCAGAGATGGTTTTTACCGGTTCTCCGAACTACTCAAAATTTCCGCTACCGGTTCTCCAGAACTGCTCAGAACCTGCCGAAACCCACCTCTGGCTCGCACCTCATTCAAGATTTGGTTCTGCCCTTCCTCTCCAGGTTATTAGCTTCCCAGATCTTCGCCACCTCTCCCTCAGCCTCGTGCCCAACATCACTGACACCAGTCTCCTCGCCGTTGCGCGCAACTGCCGGAGCTTGGAGCACCTTTCGCTGAGCCACTGCACAAACCTGACGGACAGAGGCTTTGCCGAGGCAGCTGGATCTTTGTGCAGGTTGCAGCATCTCGTTCTTTCTGGCTGCAACCAGCTGACGCCCAGGTAAGCGAGCAGAGTTTGCAAGAGATGAGTCACCTGAATGCCTTGCTTGGGGCATCCCATGCAGCCTAATGGCTGCTCAGTTGATCTTGGAAAATTATTTAGAACGGCTCCAGAGGCTTTCCTCGAGCCACCGGGAGGGTAAAAACGGCCTTCCCCAGGCTCCGGAGGTCCTCCGGAGGCCGGAAACGAGCCCGTTTCCAGACTTCCAGAATTTCCGGGAGGCCTATTTTTCACCCTCCCAGTGTCTCCATGCGGGCCCTGTACTTACCTGGCATCCAAAACAGGCCACATGGCAACTCCTGGGAGGGGTGGGGTGGGGTGGGCGGGGCCAGCCAGTCCTTGCAACTACCGGTTCGGCAAACCAGATGTAAAATTAGCATCCTGTTTGCCCGAACCAGCTGAATCCCACCTCTGCCTTTCTAGGACCCTGAAGTCCATCGGTCAGGAGTGCCAGCTGCTGAAGTCCTTAGATGTCTCCATGTGCAGCAAGATCAGCATGTCCGACGTGGAACGCTTCCAGTCGCAGCTGCCCCCTCAAAGCCAGACCAGCATCCAGTCACGGTTCGTGGGTGGAGCAGACCTTTCCATCACCCTTTGAGGAACCCTTGTGGGTTGTGAGCCTAGACACCTTGGTTAACTTTTCTCCATCCCAGTGGGAAGGCAGCAGGCTGAAAATGAATTGCACTCTTACGGCCTCACAAGTCCCATCAAGGAAGCAAAACTCGTCTTCCGTGGTAGTGAAGACAGGTCCCAAGACTATTTTCCAGAAGTTATTGAGTAAGGCCAGCAATTTTGGTATTCTACAAGCAGAATGAGAGATATTTATTTGTTGCAAGAGTTTGGAACGAGGTAAGTGCTGGGAGTGGTATCCCAACAAGAATGGCAGGACAAGTCTTGTTATTCATACCAACTTTGATATAGCAGACATTGGCACTTTTTTGTCCCTTCTAAAGGTTGTGAATTCCCTCTTACGCAGACGGAATAAGTACATTCTTAGTTGCCAATCCTTAAAGGTCCCTTTGTCAATTTTAGAGGAAACCTGGATTTGCATCCAGGTTTCAAAGTCTGCCCTCCTCACTGATACCAAAGCATCCTTCGACTTTCGGACACAGCGAGATATCCCACTGACTTCTCGGAAACAGGGTGAAAAAGCAACTTTTTCCAATAGCATCCATCTCGTCTTTCTAAACCTGGGACTCAGTTTCTGTACCTGCGGATGTGTGTGTCTGTGTGTGTCAGATACAAAACTGTGACACAAATAAAAGACTGCCATCTTATCCGTGCTTTGGAGTTTGGGGCAAAAGACAAAGCAGGCTATTAAACCCAACTCTCTCATCTTGGCTAAGAGTTATGTGTTTGATTTCACTTCCCACAACCCCCTTGCAAGTTATCATCCAAAAACAGCCGAGGTCTGCCAGATGCCTCTTTCCGCAAAATAGCACTGGGAGCGGCATTCAAGTCGTGCCTGAAATTTAGCCTTCTGCACAAGAGTTAAAAAGAAAAGGCTTACCAGTGTAACAGCCCACTCCCACAAAAATAAGAAGGGAAATTTTGAATCGCGTGATTAAATGGTCTCTCGCATATCTGCTGGAGTTTTATGACATCGTTTGACCATTACAACTTTAAAAGCCTTTTCTTTTTCATGAACATTTGGGGGGCTACAAAAAGGGAAAGGGCACCAAAAGATGTGTGAATTTTGTTCTGTACCGATCAAACAGTCCTAAATGATGTACTCTGTTTAGCAAGCGGCTGTTTATGGGAGCCTGTTATTTCACCTGCTGCACTAAATCTGAGATTACAAAATAAGAGTGATGGTCCCACATGCTCTAATATTATTAGATGTAGTAATATCCTAATACCACCTAATATGATCCCCCTCAGAGGCATAAAATGAACTAAGATGGAACTTTCCCCCTTAGATCTCCCAAAATCTTAGGATGATCTAATGGGAAAAGTCAGCGTTGAGCAGAGAATTGTCTTCAGATTTCAACCATTTTGATCTTGATTGCCTGCAAGGCATATCTTACTTTACTTTACTTTTTAAAATTTATTTGCCAGATATTTTACTACAGATGACTTATTGATTCCCCAGTAAAGATAATTGGTCAATTTGTCTTTTTCCATTTCCTTCTCTTTCACAAGCAGTAACCCTTCACAGAAGGCCCATGTTAGGCTACAGAATATTCCCAAAGCATCTGCCACTGCAGCATAAGAGGTTACTACTCAAATCATTTCTTTTTCTAACTGAGGTGGGGGGGGGGAAGGTCAAAGTTCTCACTGGGCTTGGACTCCATCCAGGGATGGGCTGCTGAGGGTTCGAGAGAACCTCTAGCTAAGATTCTGTGCAGTTTGGAGAACCCCCAAATCTCACTCCTGGTTGGCCTCACCCACCCCTCCCCTCCCAGGAGTCCCCATGCGGCCTGTTTTGGATGCAGGCAAGTGCAGGGCGCACGTGGAGGCTCGGGGAGGATGAAAAACGGGCCTACTGGAAGTTCAGGAAGGCCGGAAATGGCCCTGTTTCCAGCCTCCGGAGCCTGGGGAGGCCGTATTCGCCCTCCTGGAGACTCAAGGAAAGCTTCTGGAGCCCGGGGAGGGCAAACACACCCACATACCGCCGTGGTGCAGGAAGCCGACTAGGCCACTCCCACCATGGCCACGCCCACCCAGCAACCAGGCAGAGAGCCCCTTGCTAAAATTTTTGAAGCCCACCCCTGACTCCATCTATAAATGTTAAAGATATCCAGTTTTTGTGCTCCATACAGGAACTCCCAACTACATGCAATCAAACAAAGCCATAAAGGTAGTTCTTTCTCTTTTTTTTTTTTAATGATTAAAGGTTTCTATGCCCAAGGTAGTACCACAGTGAATTTGTTACAGTACAATCATCTGAGCAGGAAGAAAATGGGGGAATGCCCAGGAATCCCTTTTCGGCAGTTTATAGGTCATCCTTGACTTGATAGCAGTTCATTTATTGATCATTCAAAGTTAAAACGGCACTGAAAAAGGTGACTGATGACCGTTTTTTCACACTTAACGACCATTGCAATGGTCATGTGATCAAAATTTGGATGCCTGGCAAATGTCTTTATGGCGACTGCGATGTCCCTGGGTCACTCGATTCCCCTTTTGTGGCTTTCTAACAAGCAAAGTGAACGGGACGGTCAAGATTGATTTAACCCCCACGTTAACTAATTTAGCAACTCCTAAGATCCACTTAACGGCTGTGGCAAGAATGGTCATAAAGGGGTAAAGTTCACTTAAATGTTTCACTTAGCAATCAGATGTTTTGGGCTTAATTGTGGTCTTAAGTCAAGGGCTACCTGCATTGAAGCAGACGAAGTTCGTTCTTAAACCTATGAAGAGTTTTCACGGTGCAAGACTTAAATCATACACAAAGAGCTGCAAGGAGAAAAAAACCCTGAAAATTTCTGATCCAGTGCAATGAATTCCACATCTGTTGTGGGGTGAGGAAAAAAAAAAAATCTGTGACACATACATCAAATGTACATAAAAGAAGTAAAGAACCGCCACATTTCCTATCAAAATAGGTTAAGAGAGAGACAAACAAAAGAACTATCAAAAAAGAGCCTTTCCCTTAATCACAATCCCATCATTTACAGAGTGATGCCAAAGAGCCTTTGTCCTTGGTCCGTTAAAGGGGGAACAGCGCCAATCCTTGGTCCATCAAGGAAATCTTAGATTCAGCTGAGCTTCACAGGCTGCCTTGCTCAGAGGTGGGCAGCTAAAGCAACCTTACAACCTCCAACTTGGACTTCCAACTTCAACTTGACATGATAGCAGTGTTCCAATATCTCAGGGGTTGCCAGAAAAGAAGAGGGAGTCAAGCTACCCTATTTCCCCCAAAATAAGACATCCCCTGATAATAAACCCAATCGGGCTTTTGAGCGCATGGCAATAAGGTCAAGCGCTTATTTCAGGGTTCAAAGAAATATAAGACAGGGTCTTATTTTTGGGGAAACACGGTATTCTCCAAAGCACCTGAGGGCAGGACAAGAAGCAACGGATGGAAACTAATCAAGGAGAGAAGCAATTTAGAACTAAGGAGAAATTTCCTGACAGTTAGAACAATTAATCAGTGGAACAACTTGCCTCCAGAAGTTGTGAACGCTCCAACACTGGAAGTTTTTAAGAAAAGATTGGATAACCATTTGTCTGAACTGGTATAGGGTTTCCTGCCTAAGCAGGAGGTTGGACTAGAAGACCTCCAAGGTCCCTTCCAATTCTGTTATTCTAATTCTAACTTCAGCTGTCTCTGGAATTCTGGGAGTTGACGTCCACAGGTCATAAAGTTGCATAGTTGCCCAACCCTGGTCAGGTTTAATGCCTTGTGTGATGCAAAGCGAACTCTCATCCCCCACTCTTCCCTTTTAAGATCCCCAAAAAGATTCTCTACCTAGCTTAGGCATAGAACAAGGTGGCCAATGGAATAAGGAAAAGCAATTTTTTAAAAAAAAAAAATTGCATGTTTCATGGCATATCCAGAATCCCAACTACTGTTGGGGGAGAATCGAGACCGCTGATACTATCGTTCAAAAGCTACAGTACTGACTGTTAAGTACCAAGGAATATATACTGTACCCTAAAAAGAAGTTCTTAAAGAGGGGTAGTCAGAAATCTCTTCCCCCGTACCGTACATCGTACTTGCAAATTTATCACGAGTAAAAAAAAAAAAAAAATTAAATGCATCCCTTAAAGCTAATTGTGCTCCTGGTTTGAACAGAACTGCTCCCTTGGCTTGGGAAGATTGGAGCCACGACTGAATTGCTTCCTATCCTTATACAGCGAGAGGGGCAAAGTGTAAAGTGCGAAACGTACCAAAAGGCAGAGAAAGCATTCGACAGCATTGAAACCACACAAGCTTAGGAGGGGGTGGAGAAGAGACCAGTTGCCTGAGGGAGGACACCAGTTCTTAAAAGAAAACTGAGGAAATCCACCACCATCCCTACACATCTCCAATTCCCCTGTGTGTAATTCCCGGGGAAGTGTAACTCCAAACCAACCTTTGGGGGGGAAAAAAAAAAACAGGTAACAGAGAGAATTCAGATACCCATTTGTGAACCTGAAACCAACTTAAAGCTCATTCTTCTTTCAGGCTGCTGAAGCGAATGGCCGTCTTGTTCTCACTGGAATTGAGATCAAGGTTCAGCTTGATTTATAATATGACTTTCTGCCTCTTAACAGCCACCAGCCCATTCTCCCAGCTTCCACACAGGCAGCAACTGGAATTCTAAGCTTATACAATGTGCAAAAAGCTAAGGCAGGTTGTGGCATGAATAGTGTCGGAAGTGTTGTTGGGCAAATGGTAGTCTATGTGGCTACCCTTTACAGTAAAGGTAAAGGTTCCCCTCGCACATATGTGCTAGTTGTTCCCGACTCTAGGGGGCGGTGCTCATCTGCGTTTGAAAGCCGAAGAGTTAGCACTGTCCGAAGATGTCTCCGTGGCCATGTGGCTGGCATGACTAAACGCCAAAGGCGCACAGAACGCTGTTACCTTCCCACCGAAGGTGGTCCCTATTTTTCTACTTTCATTTTTTACCTGCTTTCGAACTGCTAGGTTGGCAGAAGCTGGGACAAGTAACGGGAGCTCACTCTGTTATGCAGCACTAGGGATTCGAACCGCTGAACGGCCAACCTTTCGATCGACAAGCTCAACGTCTTAGCCACTGAGCCACCGCGTCCCCTACCCTTTACAGTAGGATAATGCTAAAGATTGCGGAATGGGGGTCTCTCCAGAGTACAAGCCAACCTAGGTGGCAGGCAAATTCCCTTGTGAGTTTTTGTTTTGTTTTGTTTTTGGTGTACATGTGCGTCTGTTTTCTTACAACTAACTTTCAAACACCAGTTACAGATGCTAGCTCAATAGAGACAAATATCGTGGTGAGTGAGTGGGTAGCTGTTCAGTTCTCTGTTCCCCTTTTCACAGTGCTCCATTTCTATTCTTAAGGCCTCTTTGGCAGCTTATCTCTCTCTTGGGCAAAGCTATTCCCATTCCGGATTTTGACGGCACCTCGGTTGAAAGGAAGCCCACATAAAATCATGCATCCGGAAGCGTTAACTAAAAGAACTGATTTTCTAGGATTTTTTTTTTTAAAAAAAACACACACACCCCACCAAGGCTCAGTTGGGAAGGCTGTGAACAAACCACAAGCTGCCCGACTCCTTCCTCTTGGCCTCGCTTCATTTGCTGCGATGTCTGAATTAGGCAATCTGTGGTCACCGCTCGTCTTCAAACCATGCTTTGACAAGGTGCAGTTTGAACAGGATTGGTTTACCTGTGGTTTGCCCCGGCTTTGATGTCACAGTAAATGCTACTTGGGTGAAAGTAGAGGAAGCAATCAGAACGTGGGATGAAAGCAGGGAAATTCCGTGCCCACGTTTCCCGATCCAGCTTTCCGGGTGATCCAAGCCCGTGAATTTGTAGAGCAGTGTGTGGATCCTGCTTGTGGGGAGGGGGAGGGCACTGTGTGCTAAGGACAGCTCTTACTGTTCGATATGGGTAAAGTCATAGCAGAAATTTAAGTTGCTGGGAGGCTTTGGGATGTCGGGTGGGGTATCCGGAATGGTAATGTTCTCCAGATCCAGCAATCGCAATTTGAGCTCCATAGACAGCAAGATATCCAGCTCGCTTTGCATCCTTTCGCTGACCATCTCCCGGCCGAGAAGCACGTTCAACCCATCCGTCCACAAACAGAACTGAGGAAAGAGGATAAAATCTCATCAGACGTCGTTCCTTCAACCTTCAGTTAATAGACAGAAGGAGAACAAGACATAAACACAGACACGTTTTATTTTAAACCAGGGCTACAGTGGTCTGACTCACACAATCCATTGTTTTCCCATGCTTAATAATCCTGCAATAATAGAATAATAATAGAATTCTTTTTTTTTTTAAATTTGATTTATATGCCGCTCTTCTCCGGAGACTCAGGGCGGCTTACAATGCGTTAAGCAATAGCCTTCATACTTTTGTATATTTATACAAAGTCAGCTTATTGCCCCCACAAACTGGGTCCTCAATTTACCTACCTTAGAAAGGATGGAAGGCTGAGTCAACCTTGAGCCTGGCGAGATTCAAACTTACAGTAATTGCAGACAGCTGGTGTTAATCACAATGCTATCAGTCTGCTGAGCCACCAGGCCCTTTTATTGGCCAAGTGTGATTGGATACACAAGGAATTTGTCTTTGGTGCATATGCTCTTAGTGTACATAAGGAGAATAAAATACATTCATCGAGAATAAAAAGATATAACCCTTAGTGAGAGTCAAGGTTACTAATAAGCTATCAAATCGTACTAGGAAACAAGTAAAAACAATATAAACTGAAAGATACAAGCAACATGGTGATAGTAATAAGTGGGAAGAGATAGATACTAGTAAGGAAGAGAAGAATAACAGTAATACAGTCTTAGTAAATAATTTGACAGTGTTGTAGGAATTAGTTGTTAAGCAGAGTGATGGCATTCGGGAAAAAACTGTTCTTTTGTCTAGTTGTTCTGGTGTGCAGTGCTCTATAGCATCATTTTGAGGCTAGCAGTTGAAATCATTTATGTCCAATTTAGCTCTCAACCAGGGGTGAAATCTACGTACCTTCCTTACCGGTTCGGAAGCACATGCGCTGCGCGCACAGACCTCTGCACATGCACAGAAGGTAAAAAACACATTACTTCCTGGTTAAAACCAGGAAGTAATGACACCCAGGCGGGTGAGTGGAGCTTTGCTCCGCCATTGTTACCGGATCGCCGAACCACCGGCCAAGATCGCTACCGGACTGGGCGATCCAGTCCGATCTGGGAACATTTCACCCCTGCTCTCAACTATAGCAAACCATCATCAGCAAGTTCCATATTATACCAAAGCAAACAAGCCAAACATGATCTCATGCCAGGTGCAAAACATAGCTAGTCAGGAACAGAAACCAGAACATATTTTTTTAAAAAAAAACTGAATGCAAAACTGAGAGGGTGAAGAAGCAATTTTCAGCAAGTTGAAAGAATTGAACACTTTCCTATACTATTACCTCCACAGTCTTCTCTTGACTGAATATTCCCAGAACACAGAATATTTTAACTAGATTGATTTTATAGCAGGGGTGAAGCTCCCGGTTCGGACCGGAACACCCGATCCGGTAGCAATGGCGGGTGGTTCGGAGAACCGTTAGTAAAAATCCCTGCGTCCCCCCCAGCTGAGCCGCGAGATCATCAGAGGCTTTTTTTTTTTTTTTTTTTTACTTTTAAAAGCATTTTTTCTACAACCTCTTCGGCTGAAAAAATTGTTTTAAAAGTAAAAAAAAAAAAAGCCTCTGATGATCGCGCGGCTCAGCTGCGATCGTCAGAGACTTTTAAAAGCATTTTTTTCTGCAACCTCTTCTACCAAAGAGGTTGTAGAAAAAAAAAATGCTTTTAAAAGCCTCTGGCGATCCCAGCTGAGTTGCCTGATCGTCAGAGGCTTTTAAAAGCATTTTTTTCTGCAACCTTTTCAGCTGAAGAGGTGGTAGAAAAAATGCTTTTAAAAGTTAAAAAAAAAAAAAAGTTGGCCACGCCCACCCAGTCACATTACCCCCCCACCAAGCCACGCCCACAGAACCGGTAGTAACAAATTTCACATTTCAGCCCTGTTTTATAGTATTGTGTTTATATTATTATAAATTATACAATTTTCTCTTTTAATATTGTAAGCCTCCCAGAGTTACCGTGTGGCAAGATAGGCAGCTAATAAATTTTACAAATAAACAAACTAACAAACAGACAAATAAAATTCCCATTTCTTCCCAAGGTCGAAGTTGACTTGTTTTTTAAAGTTTGAAAAACTAACCACAAGAATGCGTTCTCCAGAAGGTTTATGCATATCTGCATCTTACTTCAGGTGCAGAATGTCCCAAAGCTATTTTCATATTTGGCATAGAGATTCGGGGGGGAACTCTTTATAACCCAGCTGGCCTGTTCAGTTTCCCTGCTGTGACTCACCTCGTATCGTGTAGCGGCAATGAAATTCAGATGCTCTCCAACGTCGTAACTTATGGAAAATGCAAGGTCAAGAAGATCCTGAGGGAGGGGAAACAAGTGTTTTAGGAGAGGAAAGTAGGATGGTTAATGGAAGAAGACCTTTCACTTCTTACCCAAGAAGCTTCTTCAGTTCTTTGGTTTTCCCTGAAGACATTGCGCTTCTCATCCAAGGAGCTTCTTCAGTTCTGAAGCTTCTTGGATGAGAAGTGAAACATATTCAAGGAAAAACAAAAAAAGCTCCATGGCTTAGGGCCTGGTTATTTACGGGACCGCCTGCTGCCGCAAACGGCCCCCACCGGCCGGTACGCTCTCACAGAGAGGGACTCCTCTGGGTGCCATCTGCCAAACAATGTCGGCAGGCGGCTCCCAGGGGGAGAGCCTTCTCTGTGGGGGCACCTACTATCTGGAACGAGCTCCCCCCGGACATACGGAGGATCCCGGATCTACGCACCTTCCGCCGTGCTCTCAAGATCTTTTTATTTCACCAGGCTGGTCTGGCCTAACTTCTCCCATTCTCTTTTTAATGTAAATTTTAATGTAAATTTTAATTTGTTCTTAACCTGGGGTTTTAAATTTGTTTTGGGCTAAATTGATTTAATTCGATTTTACTTCTGCTCTTAAATTTTTGTATTCTATGTGTTTTATCTTGTGCCTGTTCACCGCCCTGAGTCCTTCGGGAGTAGGGCGGTATATAAATCAAATAAAATGAAAATGAAAAATGAAAAAAAGTCCAGTTGCCTCTTGAAAAATAAATTTGGGACAACCATAACCTGGATGACTGAAAATCTTCATAGATACTAAAGAATGAGCAAAGCCTAGCTACTCCATTATTTATTCATGACAGTTACTTAATTATTTATTTATTTAATTGGATTTATATGCCGCCGTATCTCCACAGGACTCAGGGCGGCTCACAGCAATAAACAAAACAAACAAACCGTAAAAAAAAAAAATCCATGATAAAATTGACAAAAAATCCAATAAAACCCCATTAAGTTCTATTAAAAACCCCATCAGTCTAGGGCGGCTAGATGAAATAGCCACGTTTTCAGCCCACGGCGGAAGGAGCGAAGGTCGGGGGCCACCCGGAGGTCCACCTTTACTTTACCAAAAAGATAAAAAAAAATATCAGGGGCAAAAATCAAACCACAGCAGTAACAATCATCACGATCACCCTCAACCCCAAGCTAAGTCAAAGTCCTTGGTCTAGAAAGGGATGCTATCCAATGGCTGCAAACTCTCTGAAGTCTCCAGCGACTGTTGAACAGGGCCGCCGAGAGGATTATTAAGTGCTGGAACAAAACTAATATGCCCCCCGCCCCCCGTGTATGCGTGCGCGCCCCCCGCACACACACCCGCACATATGCGGCAGAGACCCGAAGACCGTTTCCACACAAATTATGGGTGTGACATCCACATGGTGAAAATAAAGCCATTTCCCATTGCAAAACGCTTTTGTCACCCCTTTTTATTAATCTCATCCCGTTTCTGTTTTTCCTTGCATTTGGACATTTCATAAACCATTCATAAACTGAATTGAAATATAAAATACATTCAAAAACGAAACAAAACATGCAAACTTAAATAAATAAGGCATGAAATTAAAATTCAGTAAATGACATAAATAACTGAGTTTCAGATTAATAAAGATTATGTCAAACAAGGCGGTATAGAGTATGAAGTATATATATCCGATATTGTTTTTCTTTTTTAAAAATTTGGTTTTGTAAAGATTTTAAAATATCTCCCCCTTCATGGGCCCCCTTTGAGCTTCATGGGCCCCGGAACAATGTACCGGCTGAACCCCCTTCTCCTCAGGCCTGCTGTTAAATATGTAGAGTCAGCTTTTCAATTTTGTTTTTTGGGAGGAGGGTGTGTGTGTGCAGGGGATGTAAGGGAAGGAGATCCTCCCAGGGCAAGTGAGACATTGGCTGACCTTATTCTGCTTGCCCGAACTCTTTTCCTTGGTGTGGGGGCATTCCCGGCCCACCAGCAACGCTTTCATGTCAGCCACAGAAACTGGAGAGAAAAGTAATTTGCAGGTTAAAGCCTACCTAGATCGAAGAAGATTCTACAACGAGAAATATGAAAAACTCAAATCCGTGATTTTGAGGCGGGTATTCTGGCCGCTTTCAATGTTGACTCAGCCTTCCAAGCCTTCCGAGGTCGGTAAAATGAGGACCCAAATTGTTGGGGGCAATGGGCTGACTCTCTAAACTGCTAAGAGAGGGCTGCGAAGCACTGAAAAGCAGTATGCAAGTCTTAAGTGCTATTGTTATTGCTTTCCAAGAGGAAACAATCAAATCCATTAAAAACAAAACAACAGCAAAAATATAGGTTAATTCTAGGGGTGGGCTGATGGGGGTTCGCAGGGGTTCGGGAGAACCTCTAGCTAAGATTCTGTGCAGTTTGGAGAACCCCCAAATCCCACTACTGGCTGGCCCCACCCACCCTGCCCCTCCCCTCCCTGGAGTCCCCACGTGGCCTGTTTTGGATGCAGGTAAATGCAGAGTGCATGTGGAGGCTCGGGGAGGACGAAAAACGGGCCTACTGGAAGTTCAGGAAGGCCGGAAATGGCCTTTTTCTGGCCTCCAGAGGGCCTCTGGAGCCTGGGGAGGCCGTTTTTGCCCTCCCGGAGGCTCAAGGAAAGTCTCTGGAGCCCGGGGAGGGCAACCCCCCCCCCGTGGTGCAGGAGGCTGACTAGGCCACGCCCACCATGGCCATGCCCACCCAGCAACCAGGCAGAGAACCCCTTGCTAAAATTTTTGAAGCCCACTCCTGGTTAATTCATTAGCCACCTAGAATCATAAGGCTGAAAAGGACAAGATCTTAAATCAGGAAAGCATTTGGGAGCAAACTTAGCATCCCAATCTTTCCACGTCTCCCTTCCACTTTGTGGGCACTATAGGGAAACTCAAGTAGCCTTGCTCACCATCCCGGGAGCAAAGGTGAGAAAAATAAGCCTATAAAAGACGGGGAATTGCCACAAACCTTTCTCCTGCAGGCTCTCTATTGGTGGGTTTTCGACCCCTTCTTCGACATCTCCATAATGGAGAAATTTATGGTTGGGGGAAAGGCGGCAGTACCAGAGTTTATCTGCCAAAGAGAAGAAAAACATTCAAAGTCCGAGAACGAGTCTCGTAATAGGATTTTCTCCATCTTTCAATGCCAACAGTTCCCACCGTAATGTCTTCCCTCCCGCCACCTTTCCTAGACGACTCCTAACATACATTTTGACTGTTAGGCAAAATGAGCCTAACATTTTGCCTCATAATCATGAGGCAAAATGTTAGGAACTCCGAATTGTTCATGTTTCTCTCATTCCCCAGGACGTTTAATGACTTAGAAATCAAGTATTTCCAAATCTTGCTGTTGATCTGGAAAAGGAATGGGGACCTTTGAGGCCAAGAAGTATCGACAGACAGCCCTCGACTTTACAACGCTTCGTTTAGTGACTGTTCCAAGCTACAACGGCACTGAAAAAAGTGACTTATGACTGTGCAACCTTTGACAGTTCGACTTAATGACCCCTGCAGCATCTCCATAATCACGTGTTCAAAATTCAGACACTTGGCCACTGACTCATATTTATGACGCCCTGGGGTCACGTGATCCCCTTTTGCGACCTTTATGACAACGGGGGAAGTCAACGGGGAAGCCAGATTCACTTAACAACCGTGTTACCAACTTAACAAACTGCAGTGGTTCCCTTAACAACTGTGACGAAAAAGGTCATAAAATGGGACGAAAGCTTACTTAACAAATGTCTCAATTATCTACAGAAATGTTGGGCTCAATTATGGTCGTAAGGCCTGTATGGCATTTGGAGGCCTGGTCGTAGGATGTGTCCTAAAATGGGACAGCGGGATTGCCGATTCACTAAGTATTCAATTACATAGTACTCTAATGGTAGGTGGGAATGGTATATCGGCGGCAGGAGGAAGAGCTGCAGTTCAGACAACTGTCACACAAAAGGTATTTGAGCCCCCAGAAGAAAAAGGGGTGCGGGAAGCATCTCAGAAATGTCCATACTTAGTTTTCTAAAAGTAAAAGTGCATATGTGGAATAACAGTTTTGGAAGGAACCTTGGAGGTCTTCTAGTCCAATCCACTGCTTAGGCAGGAAACCCTCCATCACTTCAGACAAATAGTTATCCAACATCTTCTTAAAAACTTCCAGTGTTGGAGCATTCACAACTTCTGGAGGCAAGTTGTTCCACTGATTAATTGTTCTCACTGTCAGGAAATTTCTCCTTAGTTCTAAATTGCTTCTCTCTTTGATTAGTTTCCATCCATTGCTTCTTGTTCTACCCTCAACTGCTTTGGAGAATTGCTTGACTCCCTCTTCTTTGTGGCAGCCCCTGAGATATTGGAACACTGTTATCATGTCTCCCCTGGTCCTTCTTTTCATTAAACTAGATGTACCTATTTCCTGCAATTCTGAAAAAGAGGGGTGAAGTGCTTTTCAGTCTTGCAAAACTGATGTGAGCCCTTTGAGTTAGCCCAGAGAAGAAGCACAAACCACAAGTACTAACACAATCTCTACTGTAAGGTTACAGGAACAGAATCTTGCAAGTCTCAAAGCACTTACACTTTCCTTTCCTTTCCTCGGTCGTATTCAAGACACAGGTTTCTTCTCCACCCACCCCCTCAAACCTGCGGTTCTTGTGCTTTACCTTGTCGACGGCGGCTACTAATTTTGCGAAAAAGCGTCCCTTCACAAAGATGTAGGAGTCTCTGCTGCTGGATCAACTTGATGAGTTCGGGTTTCAGACGCTCCTTCAATTCCCTGGAGCAGAAGATGGAGCACAGCTTTTTGTAACACGGGGTAGGTGACTGTCAGCTGCCACCCTCTGCTTGCTTGTGCTTCGCTTCAATGCAGGGTGGAATGCTTAGGGAACTGAAAGTAAGTGCTTTATCTCCTTGAGAGGCTGCCTCAAGGTCACCCAGCTGGGAAAAGGAGGGAGCTGCATACCAAATTGTGCTTGAACTGACTGTTATGGAAACATCTTGCATGAACCTGATCCGCGATGCTGGGATGGGCAATGAGTGATAGTTACAGGAGGGAAAAGTAGAACTTAGGGATTTTGGCGCTTGATTCTCAGTTCTGGCTTTGCAATACTGCAATACACTCAATCTCTAAAAAAACGATACCTTTCTCAACAAGTAGAGCCAAGGATCATTTCTATTTACAGTAGAGGTTTAAGTTGTGGCAGGTCCGACAGTGGCCACAAAGAGTGAGAGTCTTTACACTTGGTGTCAGGAAGCTGAAGGAAAACAACTTTTGTTCCTTGGGAGGGCAGCCATCTTGTTTTTCCAAGCACATTACTTATTTCTAACATTTCTACCCCACCTTAACATTCCAACTTTCAGTTCACACTGGACACTCTATGAGCTTACTTTCTAAAATAAACACCACAAAGAAAAACCACAAATACAGATGATTAAAAATGAATCTATTAGAATGTAAATTGTAACGGATACCGTATTTCTAGAACCCGGCTGCTTTATTGCTGTTTCTCCTTGTCATTTTTTTTTTTTTTTTGCACTGCTGTTACTCCTGAAGATTTTTGTCTTACTGTTTTCTATTTTATTCTGCTTTATTTTCATACTAGGTTTCAAGTAACATGTACACAATCCTGGCCACAGCATTAAGCTCTCTTGAAAATAAAAATGATCATGGTGTCAAACCTGGAAGCCATCTTTTACATTTGGGCCTTCAGGCTGGCCACATTTTCTTCTGTGGGAAAATGGGAGGGGGGGATTGCATAGAGTGTAGATGATATGTAGTCAAAATAACATTCCTTTCTTAGAGAGTCAAGGATGCAGTGCCCTGGCACCTGGATGACTGGGAGGTGTCTTCAGTTTGGACGGTGGATGATTGGACCATATGATGGACATGAGGGTGCTGGGCAGGGACTTGAACTTTCACTTGGGTGGGGAAAACCTGGAAACTTTCAGATTCCGATTTTCCCAGATGTACCAATATGACATCTCTAATAAAAAGTAACTTTGAGGAAATCCAAGCCTCAGTGTTTTCTTTGGTTGAGGGGTGTTACTTGGAACCCTGACACATGGTCTCTTTTATTTAAAAGGCATCTTACTGCCCTTCCTTGAAAGGATCCCAGGGAAGTATCAAAAGGCAGGCATCAATCCAAATATTGCTCTTTCTTCTTTGGCTCTACTCTGTTTTTCATCCCAGTTAATCAAACTGCCTGTTTGTAATCTAATAAAGGCAACAAATCACTAGAAAACAGCTTGATCAAGTGGAAAATAAAAACAGAGTGCCACCAAAGAAGAAAGAGCAATATTTGACACAGCACAAAAAACTTCCTGCAACTGATTGAGATCTTCCATCTCAATGACAAGGTGTCCATCTCTGACCAGGTGAAGCCCATGGTCCATGGAAGCAACTCAAATGATTCCTGTTTGCATGACGGCAAGTAATACTTGTATAGAGCTCAGTCCTACATGTTCTAGGAGGTGTATGGGTGTCTTTCTCTCTCTCTCTCTCTTGCACAGGCATACACACTCACACAAACTACTATCTATCAGAGACACAGTGGGAGGTCTCCTTACTCACAGGACAGGGACAGGCAGAATTTCCTCTTGATGCATGCGTTCTGTCTGCCGGAGACGCAGGATCTCACTGTAGTTGATGGTATTCACTCGGCTCTTGAAGAGCTCCAGCGAAGTGGGCTTCATGGCCAGGGTTCGGGTGATCTGCTCCCGAACCACTTGCATCACCTGGAGGAAGACCCAGAGATTTACCTGCACAGGTGTGTCTTTTGCATCTTCATCTCTCATAACAAAAAGTCAATTGGATTGACAATAGTAGGCTGTACTGCTATCATCCTTCTCATCTTCTCATCTCTCCTACTATCTTCTCCTATTGGTATCTTATGATTTGTCACTAGTTGTTTGTATCTTGTGATTAATGATTGTAACTATGATTTATGATTTATTACTTATCACTTTGTTGTTTGTGTGTACACTGAGAGCTCCTGCACTAGAGACAAATTCCTTGTGTGTCCAATCACAATTGGCCAATAAAGAATTCTGTTCTGTTCTGTTCCTATTCCTATTCTATCAAGAGTCAATTGGATTGATGGGTAGCTGTATAAATTGATTGATTGTTTAATTGAATGAATGAATGAATGAATGAATGAATGAGTGATGTAGATCCTTCTATCATGCAAATGATGGGGCAAAAATGAATGAATGAATGAATGAATGAATGAATGAATGAATGAATGAATGAATGAATAATATAGATCCTTCCATCATGCAAATGATGGGTCAAAGATGAATGAATGAATGAATGAATGAATGAATGAATGAATGAATGAATTGAATTGAATGAATGAATGAATAAATAATATAGATCCTTCCATCATGCAAATGATGGGTCAAAGATGAATGAATGAATAAATGAATGTAGATCCTTCCAACATGTAAATGATGGGGCATAGATGAATGAATGAATGAATGAATGTAGATTCTTCCAACATGCAAATGATGGGGCAAAGATTGTCATGGGTGGGCGAGCTTTAGGTGGCAGAGGACTGTATTTAATCTGAAGAGATCAGGCAGAGACCCAACGAATGCCATTATTCTATCACTCCTCTTTCAGCCCAGTTCGGATTGATATCCAACGCAACTTAGAAAAGAAAAACATTCAATCCCCTGTACTGAAAACCATGCAGCTCAAGAACATATCAGAATCAGATGATCCCTTTTAGAGCTTGCTGAAATCCATCTGGGTCTTACCTTGTCAAAATCTTCTTGAGTAGCTCGCATCTCCTTCCAGGTTTTGTTCAACAGCTGGATGCAAATACAGAAAATCTCCTCAAAGAAGTGTTCTTGGCCAAAGAACATAAGGTAGAAGGCCTGGGCTGTCTCTGAGCCTGCAACAAGAGAATGATCACAATACTTGAATGGGCCTTGGTGGCACAGTGGTTCGAATCTAGTATTGCAGGCTAACTCACTGCCGACTGCCAGCAGTTCGATCCTGACTGGTTCAAGGTTGACTCAGCCTACCATGCTTCCCAGGTCCAATAAAATGAGGACCCAGATTGCTGAGAAACAATATGCTGACTTTTGTATACCGCCTAGAGAGGGCTGTAAAACACTGTAAAGGTCGGAAAACCCTGCTGTAGAAGATCCTGGCGGGGCCACAGTGCCAACACATTCTGGATGAGTAGAAGCAAAGGGAATACTCACATGTCTCCCCTACGTGAAGAATCTCACACAGCATAAAGGAAAGTTGGATGCTGCTCCGAGCAAACGGGCATTCGTGTTTATCTTCTCGACTGCTGTTCTCAAGAATAAACTAAGAAAAAAAGGGTCAGTATTAGAACCTTCCGGATGTAAAATGTCATGAAGGCCAACAAAGGTCCAGTTTAAAATCTCAACCTACTCCATCTGGAAGCTTTCCAATTATCTTAAAACTGCAACTCCCAGAATTCCCAAGAGCCAACACGGACTAGGAATTCTGGGAGTTTCAGTTCCAATACATTGGAGGATGTAAAAGTTAAAGAAGACTAATGCTTAGGGCAGAGTAAAACAAAAAACAAAAAACCCAGACATACTATGAAGACGTTGTGGTGGCGCAGTGGTTAGAATGCAGTATTGCAGGCTCTGCCCCACAGCCAGGAGTTCGATCCTGACCAACTCAAGGTTGACTCAGTCTTCCATCCTTCCGAGATGGGTAAAATGAGGAGCCAGATTGTTGGGGGCAATGTGCTGACTCTGTAAACCGCTTAGAGAGGGCTGTAAAAGCACTGCGAAGCGGTACAGAAGTCTAAGTGCTATTGCAATTGCTACTATGAGTACAAATCCTATTAGTTAATCCCAGAGCTTTCTTGTTGTTAGAGAGGAAATCCAGGAAGCAAGCAGCACTCAGGCAAAGGAGCAGCCTTACCAGGAAAACATCTTTCTCTTACCCTACTGTATGCATTTGGGAAATGCCTGGAGAAATAGACCATGCTGTCCAGAGCAAGCAACCCTGGAGGAGTCCGGTGCAGATCCAATGCAGGGTTACTGTTATTCTGAAAGAGAAGGTGAGTCAGCAACGTGGGAAAATTCATACAGGATACAACTCCCATTCCCATGGCCCTGACATCAATAAACTCCACAACTGTCAGGCGCAAATTTATCAGGATTATTCGCTGGGTTCAAAGCACAGAACAGTTTACTATTGCTATCTAGACACACAAATCTAGTCAACTAATGACCAGTGCTAAATTGGTGCTAGGTAAAGACTGGACTTGGGTCTCTTCTGGCAATGCAGTGACTCTAAACTGATGACAAATTTTACTCCGCCCTCCATCTTTTAATTGTATATTATTATTGTTATTTGTTTTGCTGACTTTTAATGTTTGTAAACCACTCAATAGTCATCTCTAGGGAAAATGGGCAGCATACATGTCAAAGAGGAAGGAAGGAAGGAAGGAAGGAAGGAAGGAAGGAAGGAAGGAAGGAAGGAAGGAGGGAGGGAGGGAGGGAGGGAGGGAGGGAGGGAGGGAGGGAGGAAGGGAGGGAGGGAGGGAAGGAAGGAAGGAAGGAAGGAAGGAAGGAAGGAAAGAAGGAAGGAAGGAAGGAAGGGGTGAAGTGCTCCCGATTCTGACTAGATCACCCGATCCGGTAGCGATAGTGGCGGGTAGTTCAGAGAACCAGTAGCAAAAATCCCTGCCTCCTCCCCCCCCCCCATGTCCAGCTGAGCCGCGCGATCATCAGGCTTTTTTTTTTATTTTTAAAAGCATTTTTTTCTACAACCTCTTCAGCCAAAAAAAAATGCTTTTAAAAGTTTTTTTTTAAAAAAGCCTCTGATGATCGCACGGCTCAGCTGGGATCGTCAGAGGCTTTTAAAAGCATTTTTTTTCCTTTGGCCAAAGAGGTTGTAGAAAAAATAGTTTTAAAAGTTTAAAAAAAAAAAGTTGGCCACGCCCACTCAGTCACATTACTCCCCCCTCCACCAAGCCACACCCACAGAACCGGTAGTAACAAATTTTAATTTCACCACTGGAAGGAAGGAAGGAAGGTAGGTAGGTCGTGGCTGTGCTCGCCCTGAAAAGCCCCCTCCTGCACCTAATCAGCTTCAAAGAGTCTGAGCAGAACTCACCACAAAGCCCAGCTTGCGGAATTCTTTAGCACAAAGTGAGTGTCGACGCTCGGTGTTATAGCTGCCAGCAGAAGACTCGTTCTCAGACACAAAGGCAGCATGGCGCAAAGACTGGAGCAGGTCCCGTTGTTCCTGAACATCGAAAATAACCAGATTTCCTATTTGGTGGAGGAGGAAAGCAATAGCCACCCAAGGCATCAAAACGAAAACAAAAAAAAATTGGAACTGAATTGGAACTCAAGACAAGGGAACAGACCAGGGGTGAAATCCAGCAGGTTCTGACAGGTTCTGGAGAACCGGCAGAGGAAATTTTGAGTAGTTCGAAGAACTGGCAAATACCACCTCTGGCTGGCCCCCGAGTGGGGAAGGAATGAGAATTTTGCAGTATCCTTCCCTTGGAGTGGGGAAGGAATGAGAATTTTGCAGTATCCTTCCCTTGGAGTGGGGAGGGAATGGGGATTTTGCAGTATCCTTCCCCTGCCACGCCCACCAAGCCACGCCCACAGAACCGGTAATAAAAAAAATTTGGATTTCACCACTGAAACAAACCTGGGAATAGGGATCCATGGGGGCCCTCATCCGCCGCTCCAGAAGGTTGAGTGTGAGGGACTGCAGGACGTAGAGGTAGTGAGCCATCTCATCCGCAATTGGGTCTGAAGCATGGACAATGTTCTGAAGAGGAGTCCAAGAAAGGCACAATATGACACTGCCCGGTCATCCCGCTTGGGAGCAAACATTTGATTTCCTAACGTGGGGTTCAACAAGGACCAACATGCCTGTCTCCAGAGGTGAAAGCGTTAAGCCCAGAAACGGCAGGTGAGGACAGAGCGAAGAGACCCTCTGAAAGTTAGACCTGGCAGCCAAGGAGCAAAGAAGCTCGGGGGGGAAGGAAAGAGATGCCACCTCTGTACTCACCTTGTGGATAAACTGCCGGAGATTCTTCTCCCCTAGATAGTCCATCATCTCCTAGAAATGGAAAGCAGGCGGTCAGACAATCCTACATTCTACCAGACCATCCTGCTCTTGCAGGTTGGCTGGGCAGATGTATGCAAATATATGCAAATGTAAATCTAAAGATATAAGATTTAGAACATCCACTTTACCCTTCTTTCTGCCTCGCTGGCATTGAGGAGGAGAGCAATCAGAAGCGCCATAGCTTTGAGTTGCAGCTGCGTGTTCATTCTAATACGGAGAGGAGGGCGAAAAGCCAGAAATTAGACTCCATCTTACACCAGAAGGCTAAAGGAACATAGTGTTGTGGCCCGTCAGCAGCCAGCAGAGCTGGCTGCAGATTCAAACAGTGAGGAGGTTGGGGAGGAACATGGGCCAGTCCTGGAGTCTGGGGAAGGCTCTGATGAGGGCTCTGCGTCGGAGACAGAGAGGGGGCCAGGGACGTATGCCAGTTATCAGCTGCCTTCGGAGTCGGACATCAGTGAGGCAGATGAACAGCTGGAGCCTGTTCCCAGTGTGCGAATGCACAGAGTTGCCAGACGAAGGGAACAGCTAAAGAACAAGGGTCGACTTGGGAGTAAGGCCACAGGTGGACGATGAATGGCCCCTCCCAGAGGGAATAAAAGAGGAGCAAAAGGGGAGTGGAATTTCCAGGAGACAATTAGTTCGCTTAATTGGTCCTTTGATCCAGCTCCTGCCTGAAAGGAGCCCCCACCCCGGGCGTCCCCAGGGCAACGGCAGTATCACCGGCTAATCCTTTCAACCTGGAAGCACCGTGATACTTCCAACATGAGTGCGATGCTACCAGAAGGCTTGGATTTCCCCATAACCTCTATGATCCTCACCAAGGATTCTCAACGTGATCACCAAGAGATCCCTTACTTCCCAAGGTAGCTGGGAGGGCCGTAACATTACTATCGCCCACTTGAGAAAGGGATCAGCACACTGCAGCTGGTAGGAATCCCAATTTTGGGGCATATAACTCCCACAAATAAGTGTTGGAGGGGGGGGAACCAGGAGTGAAATCCAGCAGATTCTGACAGGTTCTGGAGAACCGGTAGCAGAAATTTTGAGTAGTTCGGAGAACCGGCAAATGCCACCTCTAGCTGGCCCCAGAGTGGGGAGGGAATGGGGATTTTGCAGTATCCTTCCCCTTGAGTGGGGAGGGAATGGAGATTTTGCAATATCCTTCCCCCTGGAGTGGGGAGGGAATGGTGATTTTGCAGTATCCTTCCCCTGCCACACCCACCAAACCACACCCACAGAACCGGTAGTAAAAAAAATTGGATTTCACCACTGAGGGGAACCCACATCCGGGAGATTGCAATGATCACAAAACAACTGGAGGTGACTGACAGATGTTGATACACCATCAGCATTTGCTCTCTACAGCCAGAATGCTAGAACATCGCAGCGGCAACCTTAAAAAGCCGCATTCCATTCTGCAAATTTTTTTGTGGGTTCCTCCTCCTGCCAGTAAATGAGACCCACCGCTGGGAAATAACAGGACTCTTTCCGAATCTTGTGGGTGGTGGGTTTTTGGGAGATTGGACTGCTGGAAAGCTGCTCCTTACGGCTCATCTCATGCTTACACTTGCAGGAGGGCAATGAGGCGATCCAGAGTCACCTGTTGCTTGACCAGCTCAAAAAGAGCCCGACTGGTGGGCACCATGTTCTCCAAGATGGCCAGGGAAATCTGCTGGATGGAAGCATCCAGGGGACTGATATTGATGTAACTCACAATCTACAGCCAAAGAACAGATTTCAGATTAATTAAACAGTGGAGAAAGATTCATATCTTTGTTCACTTAATCGCTTTGATTCTTTCCTTCTTTACGATGACAAGAGTTGTAGTTTTCTACCACGGCTGGCACTCAATTGGTCAAATCCCTTGGGCAGCTTTTGTATAAGCCATAAGAATGTAATGCAATAACTTTTATGAAAGATTTGCTATTAGAATAGCAGTTACAGTATAGAGAAGAAAGAGCCTGGTGGCTCAGCAGACTGATAGCATTGTGATTAACACCAGCTGTCTGCAATTACTGCAAGTTCAAATCTCACCAGGCTCAAGGTTGACTCAGCCTTCCATCCTTTTGAGGTAGGTAAAATGAGGACCCGGATTGTGGGGGCAATAAACTGACTTTGTATAAAAAAGAACACTGCTTAGAGGGGGCCGAAAGCCCTACTAAGCAGGTATATACAAAAGTATGAAGGCTATTGCTTAACGCATTGTAAGCCACCCTGAGTCTCTGGAGAAGGGCGGCATATAAATCGAACCAATAAATAAATAAATAAACAGTTGTGAAAAATCGGTTATCTTCCTTTGAAGATTCTTAAGGAGCACAGAGCCTGTGAATACTGAGAAATTCTCCGCAAACGATATGATCTAGAAAATTCGATCGCTTCTGGAAATACGCAATTTCTCTTTGGCTTCCATTGAATTGATCCTGGAAAACATCAAGTTAATTATTCCAGAACTTGACTAAGCACTCTGATCCTTGCTAAAGTAATGTTGGTAACCTTCTCTAGTCCTGGAAATGGATCTAAGATACAGTAGTGGCCAAAACTGTGGAAACCTTTTGGGAAAAGTGTATTTTCTAAAACTAACTAATAACACCACTTTTTTTTTTTGGAGTAGTACCATAAAATTATATATCAATGGAAAGATAATTTAATCAAGAACGTAATGCAATACCTTTTATGAAGGATTTGCTATTAGAATAGCAGTTACAGTATAAAGAAGAAAAGTGAAACGACGAGATATACAAAAATTACCATCATAGAAAAAACGAGATATACAAAAATTATCACCATGTCAGTTAATACTTAGTTGGGTAACCTTTAGCGTGAATCACGGCCTTACAACATCTTCCCATGGAGTGGACTGAGTCTTTTAGTTCTGCAGCTGTTATAATGTGAAACCAAGATTGAAGGATTGCTTCTATTAACTGAGTTTTATTGCTGGGTCACTTCTGACTAACAAGTTTCTTTAGGTGGCTCCATAGATTTTCAATTGGGTTACTGTCGGGCTATCCCCAGGCCTTTCCAGCAGTGGAATAGGATTATCTTGAAACTCCAAAAAAAAAAAGTGGTGTTATTAGCCATCAAACCTCAAAAATACACTTTTCCCAAAAGGTTTCCACAATTTTGGCCACTACTGTATGCTTAGAGGATCCGTTAGCTGCCTGTGATCCTCCTGTGGAATTCCCACATCACTTCCCATCTCAAAATCTTTCTGCCTTTTGTGTCAGCCAAATCACACAACAGTGATAATTCAAGGGGGGGGGGGGAATCAACACATAATAATAAATTGAAGTAAAATTCCTTGGCCATTTTTTCAAATGTTGCATAGCGTGACTTTAAGTGCCCATTGTACACTGAAAGACGGAGCTTTTGAAAAAGCTTTCCTGTGCTGCTTATTTTTACACGTTTACAGTGGTTTTTCCTAAACAATTAAGATTACAACTCACTTTGTAAACACTCCAGTAGGATTTGGTTGTTGGATAGATAGAGAAGATAGATCAACAGATAGATGGATGTAGTCAGCCACTGTTCCTAGATGCGATTCAGAAACAGTCTTGAAAATAAATCTGAGGCTTAAGAGAGAGGTTTTGTAATACACTTCCTCTTCGCTCATTTTAAAAGAAAGAAGAGATAGGAAGAAAAGGGAGAAGATGTGTGTGAGAGAGAGAGAGAAAGAAAGAAAGAAGAGATAGGAAGGAAAGGGAGAAGATGTGTGTATGTGTGTGTGTGTGAGAGAGAAGAGATAGGAAGAAAAGGGAGAAGGTGTGTGTGTGAGAGAGAGAGAGAGAAAGAAAGAGAGAAACAAGAGATAGGAAGGAAAGGGAGAAGGTGTGTGTGTGTGAGAGAGAGAGAGAGAGAAAGAAGAGATAGGAAGAAAAGGGAGAAGGTGTGTGAGAAGAGAGAGAAAGAGAGAAAGAAGAGATAGGAAGGAAAGGGAGAAGATGTGTGTGTGTGTGAGAGAGAGAGAGAGAGAGAGAAAGAGAAGAAAACAAAGATAGGAAGAAAAGGGAGAAGAAGGTGTGTGTGAGAGAGAGAGAGAGAAAGAAAGAAAGAAGAGATAGGAAGAAAAGGGAGAAGGTGTGTGAGAGAGAGAGAAAGAGAGAAAGAAGAGATAGGAAGAAAAGGGAGAAGGTGTGTGAGAGAGAGAGAAAGAGAGAAACAAGAGATAGGAAGAAAAGGGAGAAGAAGGTGTGTGTGTGTGGAGAGAGAGAGAAAGAGAGAAAGAGAGGAGAAGGAAGAAAAGGAGAACGTGTGTGAAGAGAGAGAGAAAGAGAGAAACAAGAGATAGGAAGAAAAGGAGAAGAAGGTGTGTGTGTGTGAGAGAGAGAGAAAGAGAGAAAGAAGAGATAGGAAGAAAAGGGAGAACGTGTGTGAGAGAGAGAGAAAGAGAGAAACAAGAGATAGGAAGAAAAGGGAGAAGAAGGTGTGTGTGTGTGAGAGGAGAGAGAGAGAAAGAGAGAAACAAGAGATAGGAAGAAAAGGGAGAAAGTGTGTGAGAGAGAGAGAGAGAGAGAGAAAGAAGAGATAGGAAGAAAAGGGAGAAGGTAGGTGTGTGTGTGTGTGTGAGAGAGAGAGAGAGAGAATATTCTATGAACCCAAAAAGAAATATCTGTGAAGTCCACATTGCCAAACTTGGTTTGCAGTTCCACTAAATCCTGACCATCTCCCGAAGGGAAATCTAGAACCCAGATGTTCTGGGAGAACAGGAAGAACTGCTTCCATGTCATGAGCCTTACCTTTTTGATGAAAGTAGGGCTGAGAGTCTCCCAGGAAACAAAATCATGTTCCATCAGCTCCACAAAGGCCTTCAGGGTATACGCCAGAATCTCCCCTGTACTGGAGTAACAGACAGCAAACAGGGTAAGAGCCAAAGGGCGAGTGGGAGACTCAAACCCAGAAACCATAGGAAGGATGCATTAGAGGAACCTAGGAGGAGAGAGAAGGAACAAAGAAGGAGAAGAAGAAAAAGGAAACGTCTCCATAAAAGCCAACGTCCCAGGGGGAAAAAAGGCCAAGGAAGCAGAAAGAGATGGGGCAGAATATTCTAAGGAAAAAATCAAGGGCCATGACAATAAGAGCCTTGGTAGTACAGTGGTTTAATGCACCCTGCTATTAACACAGCTGCCTGCAATTTCTGCTGGTTCGAATCTCTCCAAGGCTCAAGGTTGACTCAGCCTTCCATCCTTTCTAAGGTAGGTTAAATGAGGACCCAGTTTGTGGGGGCAATAAGCTGACTTTGTATAAAATATACAAAAGTATGAAGGCTATTGCTTAACACATTGTAAGCCACCCTGAGTCTCCGGAGAAGGGCGGCATATAAATCAAATTTTAAAAAAATAATAAAAATAAAAATAATAATGTTGCTGAGAAACGCCTTCTTGTTATATTATAAGTCTGCATCCTTTGCATAACTCACTCTGGCCACAGTGGACAGCTGAATCCCTGAAATTTATGATTATGAATCCACGACTTCATGTTATAAAGAGAAAACAGAGGAAACTTAATGGAGAAGAGAGAGTTTAAAACGCACAATTTTCGCTTAAACCTGCATGGATTGGTGCCTCCTTCCTGGAACTCAACTGGACCAGCAGTTCATTGATCAGTAAGGATGATTGGCGGAAGGTGGCACCCCAATGAAAAAAATGGGGTCCGGCATGAAAATTGTGGGCAAAGCCAAACGATAAACCAAAACATTTTTGGGGGGGGGGGGAGGGAAATGTACGAAGTGTATATCCATGATGGTAAAGCTTAAAAACAACGGTGCTCTTAACATCGCAGTCGTTTTCACCTTTCACTGGCAAATTGGCTCCAGGAATCGCATAAGGGCATTGCAGAAGACCACAATCAGTTCATATGCCGTGGGTTGTCTGTCTCATAGCTACCTGAGGACAGAGGGGGGGTTCCACATAATTTTACCACCAGTTCGCCACGCACCGAAAATGTGAGCGTGTGGCCTTCCACGCGTGCGCTTTGCTTGCGCATGCAACTTGCGCGCGGCTTAGAAAATGTGAGCCGAAGAGGTTGTGGAAAAAAATGCTTTTAAAAGGTAAAAAAAATGCCTCTGACGATCACAGCTGAGCCGCGCGATCATCAGAGGCTTTTTTTTTTTTTTTTTTTTAAGAAGCGTTTGTAGAAAAAATGCTTTTAAAAATAATTTTTAAAAAAGCCTCTGATGATTGCGCGGCTCAGCTGGGCATGGAGGGGGCAGGGATTTTTGCTACCGGTTCTCCAAACCATCCGCCACCATCGCTACCGGATCAGGTGATCTGGTCTGAACCAGGAGCATTTCACCCCTGCATAGCACCGGGGGCGGATGGGTGGGCCCACATGCAGTTCGCTACTAATGGTTCGCTCGAACCGATCCGAACCGGCTCAATACCGCCACTGCCTGAGGAGCTGCAGAAAACATCCTTAAAAGAGATTAGAAGGAAAACTCATGCCAAAAGCAGCAGTGAAGCACCCTTCCGCCCTGAAGATACTCACTTATTATCTTCTTCCACAATCATGAAGAGCTGATTCAGGCCATTTCTGCTAATAAACTCCTGAGCGAAGGCCACATCCCGGGACAGGCTTGCCAACTTCTTCAAAGAATTAGTCTTCACGTCCACACTGTTGCTTTGAATACCCCCATGCAGCTTCGCTGCCTCTTGATCCTGCAAGGAGATCATTTGGGGGGGGAATCAAAGAAGATGATATAATCACAACTTGGAATATTGTTGCATTCAGTTCTGGTTACGTTGCTCAAACAGGAACAGGTTCAGCAGACCGGCAATAGTTTAATGCCACTAAAAGAGGACTTATCCCCTCAGCCAGCTTAACTGCAGAGCACAATCAAGGAAGGAAGGTTCTTTAAAGGAGTTGAAACAAGAAATAAGCTTCCGATTACAAAAAGAATGAGAAGCAAGATAGGAATCCCCCAGCCGTCCTTTTTATTGGTGAGTTCACGAAGCTCAGGTCCCCCTCGGAAGCTTCTGGATTCTTTTCCCCCCCCCAATTTGTTTGCACATCCCTCAGGCTGAAAATCCATGTGTGCGTGTGATAAGCAAGCTGTCTTATCTGCTGATAAGTGTCTAGAGATCCTCTTCCTTTTTTCCCTCTCTCAATCTCAGCACAGCCTCTAGTTATATAAATATATTTGCATCCCATTTGGCTACAATAGTAGGAAAGTAGATAGGTTTTGCATTTGCATCAAGGTGATTTACACCTCCCCTCCAAAAATAACTAAATGAAATCAAGAATTGACTCAAGGCAACAGCAAAAGTTAACATTAAAGCAACTGCTTTTTGACTAAGACGCTGAGCTTGTCGATCGAAAGGTCGGCAGTTCAGCGGTTCGAATCCCTAGTGCCGCGTAACGGGGGTGAGCTCCCATTACTTGTCCCAGCTTCTGCCAACCCAGCAGTCCGAAAGCACGTAAAAAATGCAAGTAGAAAAACAGGGACCACCTTTGGTGGGAAGGGAACAGCGTTCCGTGCGCCTTTGGTATTGAGTCACGCCGGCCACATGACCACGGAGACGTCTTCGGACAGTGCTGGCTCTTCGGCTTTGAAACGGAGATGAGCACTACCCCCTAGAGTCAGGAACGACTAGCACCCATGTGCAAGGGGAACCTTTACTTTTACCTTTTTAGGGAGGGCAATTCCTAAAATTCCCAATGAACACATCTGGAGGGGTCTAGGTTGAGGAAAGCTGTGCTAAAACATCAAAAGGAACACAACTGCAGTCCATCTCATTGCTGCTTCTATTATGTGCCTAGGAATGGGCATAATAATATTTTTCTGCTAAGCACTGGGCCCTTAAACAGTAAGGACTGTAAAATTTAGCCAGAGTAGCAAGAACAAAAAGCAACCAAAAAGTATCGATATAAACAGAAGGTAAAAATAGTAGCCAGGATGTGGTTTTTGTTTTTTTTAAAAAAAACGTTCTGCAGCCTCTATTTCCTATGGATTTCCTCCAAGTAAGGAAGAAAGAAGCAGTCGGAATATGTGTTAAGGGCTATCATGATAAGAAATTAATGACCTTTGGCCATCAACATTCTCGATCCAATCACTAAAAATAAATAAATGAAAATCAACGGGAGGAAACTGCATGATTTTGCAATAAAAGCCTCATGTGAAAGTATTCTATTTTTTTTCTTTCTTTTTTTCTTCTTGCTTCGGGGATGGGGTCAGGACGACTGAATTGAGCTGAGCATTTACTGGCCGATGCCCTTCCTGACACCTACACGGAGCTCAGAGCAAATATTTTCTCTTTGTGCCCTGATAGAGAAACATCTATCACTACCTAGGAGTGAACTCTCAAGCTTGAAAAGGAAGTGTCTTCATTTTTAGGCCCCCCCGAGCTGTTCTGAAAGTATTTTATAACACAACCATAAAACGTTCTCAGTTTCCTGTATTTGCAAAAAAATAATAATAATGCATCATCATCCTAAAGATGTGCGTAAATGGAGGAGCCAGCAGAATGCAAAAAAATCTCTTTTTGTTCTAAGGATTAGTCTGCAATATTTGCAAGATGACAAAAACCCAGTAAGAAAATAAGGGGGAAAGCATGCAGAAATCACATGCTTGGAATCTACAGCTTCTATAATAGACATTGTCCTTGAGCAAAGACAAAATTTGGAATGCTTTCCCGTTTGCAGTGGGACCTACCGGAGCAGTTGTCAACTGCAGGATACTCCCATTCTTAATTTCTCCACGGTTCTAACAAAACAAGACAAGAAAATAATTGCACAATCAAAATCTCAAAACACTGAATAAAAGCAGCCAAAGATGAACTGGTTCAAAATGTCTATCTTGCCAACATTTTAACTAGCCTTCTAGGAGAACTGAAAAATAAGAGGCAGAAAAAGTTGTTTTACTTACGGTAATCATTCAATGTCCATCTCTTTTTTTTTAGCCAGGCTATAACCTTCCTTGCAGGCATTTTTTAAAACACCAGGCTGGTCTACTAAACTCTTTCTCAAATGCACTCACCAGTTCTGTGATGTAGGCTTGCTGGCCATCCACGTACTGCAACGCATAGCGCTCAGAATTATTCAGGTTCCACCTATGTTAGAGACAGACAATCGGAGTTTTGCCAGGGTGCACAGATTTCTCCTCCCACCCAAAAAAATTGGTGTATTTCCATTTCCCAGAAAAGAAACTGGATGTCCAAGGAGATAAGTCGTCTGAATCATGCAAATATTTCCTCTGCTACTTAACTACCGTATTTTTCGGAATATAAAACGCTCTGGATTATAAAACGCACCTACCTTTTTTGTTGAGGAAAACAAGAAAAAGAAATTTTGCCTCCTTGCAGCAAACAGCCTGCTTTACTTTCATTTTCGTTTTCAGCATAGCTTGATTAGCACAAGGAAAAAAAAAATCTGCTCCCAGCAATTTACCTCCTTGCAGCAAGCAGCAGAGGCCAGCGCAAAACAGCTGAGAGCAAATCAGCTGAGAACAAAACTGCTCAGAGCAAAACAGCTGAGAGCAAAACAACTGAGAGTCCGGAGGCCGATCCAATCAACTTGTGCTAATTAGACTGTGCTGAAGCTGAACCGAGCTGTTTCTTCTTGCTGCTTGCTGCAAGGAGGTAAACTGCTGGGGGGCAGAGCCATGGGGTGGGGGCCAGTGGGTGGGTGGGGCTACATTTGATGTATAAGACGCACCCAAATTTTCACCCCCTTTTAGGGGGGAAAAAGGTGCATCTTATACTCTGAAAATTACGGTAAGTTTTCTACAAAGTTTAATCAAATTCTGTGTTTACCTGAAAGGAACATGACCCTCAAAAAAAATGGGAGGGAGGGAGGGGGACAAGGGAATTAAGGAGAAATCATACATGCCTATATTTATGTATATACACATACACACCCACACTGGGGGAGTAAAATTCTGTGCAATAGCCTACTCAGCCTTTACCAGTTCCTAGAGGTGTTTCCCTACCTCCATAAACATGTTGTGCAGGCAGCCTACAAGGCCAAACCAGAAGGCACACTCCGAAAAAAGAGAACAGTGAGGACAAAATAACTCTTCATAATAACTGAATCAACTACCAATTAAACTTCATTCTTTTACAACGAGGCTCCAATTTGTAAAATCGATTCTTCTCTCTCTTGCAAGTATGTAAATGATCTATTCTCTTTCACAGATATGAAACGTCTCTTATCTAAAAACACATCTAAAACATACGAAGAACAGTTGCAGGAATTGAGTTTGTCTAGACTAGTGAAAAGAAGTAGAGGTGACATGATAGCAGTGTTTCAATATCTCAGGGGTTGCCACAAAGAAGAGGGAGTGAAACTATTCTCCAAAGCACCTGAGGGCAGGACAAGAAGCAATGGGTGGAAACTAATCAAGGAGAGAAGCAACTTAGAACTAAGGAGAAATTCCCTGACAGTTAGAACAATTAGCCAGTGGAACAACTTGCCTCCAGAACTTGTGAATGCCCCAACACTGGAAGTTTTTAAGAAGAGACTGGACAAACATTTGGCTGAAATGGTATAGGACTTCCTGCCTGAGCAGGAGGTAAGACTAGAACAAGGGTCGGCAACCTGAGGCTCTGGAGCTGCATGTGGCTCTTTCTTCCCTCTGCTGCAGCTCCCTGTTGCTGGTCGGCTCCACAATTCATAGGGTTTTCGGTTAGGACAGGTAGAGGAAAAAGGACGCCATGCTAGGAGGAGACTCTATGGTGGGGGAACCAGACTTTCTGTCAGCTCCAGAATTGAATGGGGGGGGGGGGCTTCTGGTTAGGACCTCTGTGGCTCTTTTAAGTGTTTAAGGTTGCCGACCCCTGGAGACCTCCAAGGTTTCTTTCAACTCTGTTGTTCTGTTATTATATGGACAAGTACAGACCTTTAATTCCAACAGAAGGATGGAAGAGATGATGAAGAGAAGGAAAGCATGAAAGGGAGTGAAGAGGAGGTGAAGCGGGAAACATCTAGGTAAATGCCTACTATCAATAGTTTGGGGGCTTCATTGATTTATAATAGTGCTTCTCAACTTCGACAACTTGAAGATGTGTTCAAGTTCAAGAAAGCTAAAGCGTATTAACGAAACAGAAAGCAGACAGGCAGACCTCCCTTAACACATATTTAATAACTTTTTGCAAACACTTTTAATAAGTTTTTGCAAACATCTGGCAGGCAGCAGCTTCTGTCTGAAACTCAGTCTCAGACTTTTTCTGCTGATCCGCTACAAAGCAAAAGCAAAAAAAAAATTAAAAAAGAAAAGGGAATAGCTACTCACACTTCACAGACTTCTTTCACAACTGCTGACAAAGGCTTAGCCTGCAATTAAACATAAACGGCACGTGAGGGTTTCCGCATGATTTGAACCTTTTAAGCAGAGCCGGGTGCGCCGAAAATAAAATTGGCCACAACTCTTCCATGTGCCAAACTGGTAAAAAGATGTAAAGATTGATCTACCTGATTTAGTTCTATGAGCTGGGGAATCGCTCCCATCATCTGCACGGCGATTTTGACCACATCTTTGGAAGGTGGCATGGTCAGCCCTTCTCTGGGTTGACCAGGAGGTCCTTCCTGCAAAAGCATGGAGATGTACCTCATCACATATAATCCAGGTGTGAAATCTACTTATCTTCCCTACCGGTTCGGAAGTGCGCGCACTGCGTCACATCCGATTTTTGACCCTCCGAGCATGAGCAGAAGGCTTTGTGCCAGTGGTGAAATCCATTTTTTTTTTTTATTACCGGTTCTGTGGGCATGCTTGGTGGGCATGACAGGGGAAGGATACTGCAAAATCTCCATTCCCACCCACTCCCAAGGGAAGGATACTGCAAAATCTCCATTCCCTCCCCAATCCTGGGGGAAGGATATTGCAAAATCCCCATTCCCATCCCACTCTGGGGGGCCAGCCAGAGGTGGTATTTACCAGTTCTCTGAAACTACTCAAAATTTCCGCTACCGGTTTTCCAGAACCTGTCAGAACCTGCTGGATTTCACCCCTGCTTTGCGCATGTGCAGAGGGTTAAAAACTAGGAAGTCATGATGATGTCCGGGCGGGTGGGCGGAGCCTCGCGCTGCCACCGCTACCAGTTCGCTGAACCAGCCGCTACCGGTTTGTACAAGGCAGACAGAACTGGTAGGATTTCACCACTGATATAACCATGACAGGGATCAGAAAGGAAAAATGCTATCCAAGAAACCAGAAAGGTTTATTGCTAAGATATTTGATAACACACAGGTAATGGAATTTACACATACAGGTGATCCTCGACTTACAACAGTTCGCTTAGTAACCGTTCAAAGTTACAATGGCACTGAAAAAAGCAATTTACGACCATTTTTCAGAGTTACAACCGTTGCAGCGTCCCCATGGCTATCTGTGATTCAGATTTGGATGCTTGACAACCGATTCACATTTATGACGGTTTGAAGTGTCCCCAAACTCCCCTTTGGCTGACAAGGGAAAGTCGGTGGGGAAACCGGGTTCACTTAACAACCGCGTGACTAATTTAACGACGGCAGCGATTCGCTTAAGAAACGGGGCAAGAAAAGTCACTGAGACAAGGCTCACTTAACACGTGTCTTACTGAGCAACATACATTTTAGACTCAATTGTGGTCGTATGTCGAGGATTGCCTGTTATGTGCAAAGCTGGGCATTTGTGCAATGGAACCCGCTTGGGAAATGGATTCACTGGTTACATGCTGACTTGATCTGCGCCCTGGCTTGAAATGAGGATCTTAATAATCTTGAAATTGCATAGTGTTGTGGCCCAGCAGCGGCCAGCAGATCTGGCAGCAGAGTCGGACAGTGAGGAGGTTGGGGAGGAACATGGGCCAGTCCTGGAGTCTGAGGAAGGCTCTGATAAGGGCTCTGCATCGAAGGCAGAGAAGGAGCCAGAGCCGTATGCCAGCTATCAGCTACCTTCGGAGTCAGACATCAGTGAGGCAGACAAACAGCTGGAGCCTGTTCCCAGTGTGCGCATGCCTAGAGTTGCCAGACGAAGGGAACAGCTAAAGAAGAAGGGTCGACTCAGGAGTAAAGCCACAGGTGGACGGTGAATGGCCCCTCCCAGAGGGAATAAAAGAGGAGCGAAAGGGGAGTGGAGTTTGCAGGAGACAATTAGTTCATTCCTGCATTCTTGCCAAGTATTGCGGCGTCTGAAAGATATCAGCCTGGCCACTCTCCAAGCCTGATAAAGGTCGGTAATTGTGAACTATCTTGAAAGACTGTGGGAGAGGAAAGACTTTGCTGGAGAGGAATTCACTGTAAATTAAATAAAAGGGGTTTATCGGGACGAGGGCTCGGCTTCATGCTGCTGGGGAAGCCTAGGTCAAAACACATAGGAACGTGCAAACTGAATAGTAATCGACTTGCGTTTTTCTGAAAAGCCAATATGAACTTAGGTTCATGTTCTACCAAACAATTCCAATTCCATCACCTGCCGAGGAAAAATAGGCTGGCTCCCACTGTATCCAAACAGCCCTCCTTCAGAGATTCCGATGGAAAAGAAACCTTGCGACCAATCCTCACATTTATGGCCTGTGAAGCAAAGGAAAAGCTGAAGTAAGAACATAAGCACGGTCGAGGTTTCGCTTAGCGACCACTTCACTTAATGAACAGGTTGCCAGTCTCTAGTGTGGTCACTAAAGGAGGATTACTTAAAAATCGGGGTCATCTTCCCTCCCCTCAAACCATATCCTAACGGTCCCCAAAAGTGCTTTTTCAGGAGGCCACTGGACTTTCTGGTTCTTTTTCTTTTGAAGAGGTTTCGCTTCTTATCTAAGGAGCTTCTTCAGCTCTGACAGGATGGTGGGGAATGGAAGGATTTATACCCCTTGCAGACAGATGGGTCATTTGCATCCTTTTATAGAGTCATTGAGACACTTGGAGGTTTATCTGTGTCCTCAGGGTCAAAGAGTGCTCATCCCAAATTGTACGGGACAACCACAATCTGGATGATTGAGAATCTCTGCAGACTTTTAGCTATACAATTTGGGATGAACAGCCTTCCAATGGTGTGGGAATAGGAATGGATTTCCAGAAGGGAAAACTGCAGATTACAGAAACCAGAAGCACTACTTTACAATAGTGGCCAAAATTGTGGAGACCTTTTGGGAAAAGTGTATTTTCTAAAACTAGCTAATAACACCACTTTTTTTGGGGGGGGGGGAGAAGTACCATAAAATTATATATCAATGGAAAGATAATTTAATCAAGAATGTAATGCAATAACTTTTATGAAAGATTTGCTATTAGAATAGCAGTTACAGTATAGAGAAGAAAGAGCCTGGTGGCTCAGCAGACTGATAGCATTGTGATTAACACCAGCTGTCTGCAATTACTGTAAGTTCAAATCTCGCCAGGCTCAAGGTTGACTCAGCCTTCCATCCTTTCTAAGGTAGGTAAATTGAGGGCCCAGTTTGTGGGGGCAATAAGCTGACTTTGTATAAATATCCAAAAGTATGAAGGCTATTGCTTAACACATTGTAAGCTGTTCTGAGTCTCCGGAGAAGGGCGGCATATAAATCAAATTTTAAAAAAAAGAAAGAAAGAAAAAGAAAAGTGAAACACATAGAAAAAATGAGATATACAAAAATTATCACCTTGTCAGTTAATACTTAGTGGGGTGACCTTTAGCATGAATTACGACCTTACAATGTCTTCCCATGGAGTGAACCAAGTCTTTCAGTTCTGCAGCTGTTCTAATGTGAAGCCAAGATTGAATGATGGCTTCTATTAACTGGGGTTTATTGCTGGGTCGCTTCTGACTAACAAGTTTCTTTCGTCGGCTCCATAGATTCTCAATTGGGATAAGGTCTGAGCTATTCCCAGGCCATTCCAGCAGTGGAATAGGATTATCTTGAAATTCATCGCTCCCCAAAAAAAGTGGTGTTATAGCCATCAAACCTCAAAAATACACTTTCCCCACAATTTTGGCCACTAGTGTAGGTGACCCTGAGGACACAGATAAACCTCCAAGTGCTTCAAAGGCCCTCTAAAAGGATGCACACGACCAGCTGTCTGCAAGGAATATAAATCCTTCCATTCCCCACCATCCTGTCAGAGTTGAAGAAGCTTCTTGGATGAGAAGCGAAGAAGTCTTCAAACTGAGAATCTCTACAGACTTCCCTCCTCTTGCATGACTGAAATGGGCCTCAAGGAGAGGGATGGTCAAGTCTTCACTGACATAAGAGGCCCAATCCTAAGAAAAGACACGGCTGCTTTAAAGAGTTGCTGACGAAGCACGATTTGGGTGCCTTTTCTTAGAATCAAAATCGAAATGCCTCACAACTTGACTTGGAAACCATTATTGCTCACTTGTTCCCAGAACTTTGCACGCAAATGAGAAAGGGGGGGAGGGAGAGAGAGAGAGAGAGAGGAAGAAGAGGAAAGTCACCCAAAAGTCACATCTGTCTGACAGGGGCCACTGCAGAGAATTTATTAGTCGGAGAAGGGTGGAGAGTTAACTAGAAACCCACAAATGGATCTAATTCTAGGAACCAGCCCTTGCTTAATGATTAAAAGCAGCAAGCTAGACTCTTGGATGATTCAAACCACTTCCTCTTAATTCCATGGAGAGTTGGCCGGCCTCCTTGGCATTCTTCCACCAAGCGCCTTTATGGAGGCTGAGACATCACTGAATACCTTAACTTTTTTTAAAAAAAAAAATCCCAGCACTTAAATTTTTAAAAAAATCATGCAATCCCTTTGACCCTCACCTGTTCAAAACTTACACACACACCCAAAAAAACCCTTTGACCAGTGGTGAAATCCAATTTTTTTTTACTACAGGTTCTGTTGGCGTGGCTTGGTGGGCGTGGTGTGGCTTGGTGAGTGTGCCAAGGGAAGGATACTGCAAAATCCCCATTCCCACCCCACTCTGAGGGAATATTACAAAATCCCCATTCCCTCCCCACTCCAGGGGAAGGATGCTGCAAAATCCCCATTCCCACCCCACTCCAGGGGAAGGATACTGCAAAATCGCCATTCCCTCCCCACTCCAGGGGAAGGATACTGCAAAATCCCCATTCCCTCCCCACTCCAAGGGAAGGATACCTCAAAATCCCCATTTCCTCCCCACTCCAGGGGAAGGATACTGCAAAATCCCCATTCCCACCCCACTCCAGGGGAAGGATACTGCAAAATCTCCATTCCCTCCCACTCCAGGGAAGGATACTATAAAATCCCCATTCCCTCCTGACTCCAGGGGAAAGATACTGCAAAATCTCCATTCCCTCCCCACTCCAGGGAAGGATACTGCAAAATCCCTCTTCCCTCCCCACTCCAGGGGAGGATACTATAAAATCCCCATTCCCTCCTGACTCCAGGGGAAGGATACTGCAAAATCCCCATTCCCTCCCCACTCCAAGGGAAGGATACTGCAAAATCCCCATCCCTCTCACTCCAGGGGAAGGATACTGCAAAATCCCCATTCCCTCCCCACTCCAGGGGGAAGGATACTGTAAAATCCCCCTTCCCTCCCCACTCCAGGGAAAGGATACTCCAAAACCCCCATTCCCTCCCCACTCCTGGGGGAAGCATATTGCAAAATCTCCATTCCCACCCCACTCTGGGGCCAGCCAGAGGTGGCATTTGCCGGTTCTCCGAACTACTCCAACTTTCCCTGCTACCGGTTAGCCAGAACCGGTCAAAACCTTGCTGGATTTCACCCCACTGCTTTTGGCTCCCCTTTCCCCTTTTTGCAAAGCGCTCACCTGCACGGGCGTAAAAACCAAGGCAAAAAAAAAAACAAAAAACGGGCTCAGCCTCGGCCCGGCTTCCTCGAGTTGGGGCAGCCACGTGCCTTTCCCAGCCCAGCCTACCTCGCAGGGCTCCACGGGTGGCTCCAGAGACGCAGCTGGGCGCTTGGCGGGGGAGGGGGGAAGGACAGCTGAGTTAGCCCAACAAAAAAGAAGAAGAAGAAAGAAGAAAGAAGGAAGAAGGAAGAAGGAGAAGGAGAAGGAGAAGAAGAAAGAAGAAGAAAGAAGAAAGAAGGAGAAGGAGAAGGAGAAGAAGAAGAAAGAAGAAGAAGAAAGAAGGAAGAAGGAGAAGGAGAAGGAGAAGAAGAAGAAGAAGAAGAAAGAAGAAGAAGAAAGAAGAAAGAAGGAAGAAGGAAGAAGGAGAAGGAGAAGGAGAAGAAAGAAGAAGAAAGAAGAAAGAAGGAAGAAGGAGAAGGAGAAGGAGAAGAAGAAAGAAGAAGAAAGAAGAAAGAAGGAGAAGGAGAAGGAGAAGGAGAAGGAGAAGGAGAAGAAGAAGAAGAAAGAAGAAGAAAGAAGGAAGAAGAAGAAGAAGAAGAAGAAGAAGAAGAAGAAGAAGAAGAAGAAGAAGAAGAAGAAGAAGAAGAAGAAGAAGAAGAAGAAGAAGAAGAAGAAGAAGAATTAAAAAAAAAGCTTTCGATTCCGATCCGTCTTCCCGGACGGAGGAGGAAGAGGAGGAGGAGGCAGAAAACTTCGGAGGGAAGCCAGATCGTTGCGTGCCAGAAAATTAACGCCTCCCCGGGCCCCCCTTTTTTTATCTTGCTCCCCCCCAAAAAACTTTGGGGGAGGGGGAGAGGAGGCGAGAAAAAAGAGAAAAAAAAAAGGAGTTGCAGGATCCCCTCCCTAAGTCCTCTTCCGCGTCCGCCAGCAGCTTGCCCGGGATCCTCTCTCCGCCCCGGGGTGGGCAAAAAAAAAAAAGAAAGAAAGGGGCGCCCTCCGCCTCCGCTTCTTTTAGCTCGGGCTTCCTCCGTGCATCCGTGCCCGGGCGAGGCGAGGCGGGGAGTGGGGAGGAACCGAGCAGCGGCGCTCCAAGCGGGAGAAACCAGCTGGAGCGGCTCCCGGCCCGACCCGAAAGCGGCTCCTGCGAAGCCCGGCGGGCGCCTGGTTGGCGAAGCGAAGGATCGGGCGCCGCCACAGCCGCCTTCTCCCTCCGCCCCCGGCCCCGCTTGGGCTGGCCGTCCTTCTCCCGCTCGGCGCTCGGCAGTTCCGGGGCGGTGGCCGGCCAGGCTGCCCGCCCTCGAAGGAGGACGGCCGTCTCCGCCCCTGGAGAAGGAGGGAGGGAAGGAGGGATGGAGGGAAGGAAGGAGGGAAGGAGGGAGGGAGGGAAGGAGGGAGGGAGAGGGGAGGAGGGAGGGGAGGAGGGATGGGGAGGGATGGAGGGAAGGAGGGAAGGAGGGAGGCAGGGAAGGAGGGAGGCAGGGAGGGAGGGAGGGAGGGAGGCAGGGAAGGAGGGAGGGAAGGAAGGAGGGAAGGAGGGAGGGAGGGAGGGATGGAGGGAGGAGGAGAGCCCACCCTCCTCCGCCTTGGGGGTTTCTTCCTTGCCCGCTCAGGCTCCGAGCGATGCTGGCCCCGGGCCGGGCCGGTCCTGCCAGAGGCGCCGAGTCCTTTGCCAGAGGCTGTTGCGCGCGTTGGGCACGTGCGGAGGTTCCGAAAGAGGGATGGAGACCCCGCCGCGATGCGATGGGATGGATTAGGAATGGGGGTGGGAATGGAGGAATAGGAGAGAAGGGAATAGGAGAGGAAATAATGGAATGGAATAGGGGTAGGATTGGGATGGAATAGGAATAGGAATAGGAATAGGAATAGGAATAGGAATAGAATAGAATAGAATAGAATAGAATAGAATAGAATAGAATAGAATAGAATAGAATAGAAAATACGGAATGGAATGGAATGGAATGGAAAGAATACAATAGAATAGAATAGAATAGAATAGAATATAGAGTACAATTAGACTAAACTAAACTAGACTAGAATACAATAGAATAATAGAATGAATAGAATAGAATAAAGGATAGAATAGAATAGAATAGAATAGGAGAAAGGATAGGATAGAATAGAATAGAATAGAATAGAATAGAATAGAATAGAATAGAATATAGAGTAAAATTAGACTAAACTAAACTAGACTAGAATACAATAGAATAATAGAATAGAATAGAATAGAATAAAGGATAGAATAGAATAGAATAGAATAGGAGAAAGGATAGGATAGAATAGAATAGAATAGAATAGAATAGAATAGAATAGAATAGGAGATAGGATAGGATGGAAATAGAAATAATAGAATAGAATAGAATAGAGAATAGGATACGATAGAATAGAATAGAATAGAATAGAATAAAGAAAGGATAGATAGAATAGGAATAGGATAGGATAGGATAGGATAGAATAAAGAATAGGATACGATAGAATAGAATAATAGAATAGAATAGAATAAAGAATAGGATAGGATAGGATAGAATAAAGAAAGGATAGGATTGGATAGGATAGAATAATAGAATAGAATAGAGAATAAAGATACGATAGAAGAATAGAATAGAATAAAGGATAGAATAGAATAGAATAAAGAAAGGATAGAATAGAATAGGAATAGAATAGGATAGGATAGAATAGAATAAAGAATAGGATACGATAGAATAGAATAATAGAATAGAATAAAGAATACGATAGGATACGATAGAATAGAATAAAGAAAGAATAGGATGGAATAGAATAGAATAAAGAAAGAATAGGATGGAATAGAATAGAATAGAGAATAGAAAAGAAAAAAATAGAGCAGAATTGAACAGAGTAGTAGAATAACTTGAATTGTCACTTTGAATGTACGCTAATCGGCATACATTAAAACGAAATTTTAATGAAATGAAAATGAAACTTCTGGGCTTTAGTCCTGCCAATGATTCCCCAATCTTGGGCTTTTTTCCCAGCAGGTTATGTGAACTGTCCAAGGAAGGTTGGTCCAGCAAACAAACCCACGGCTGCTTCTCCAGCTGCCTCAAAAGAGCTGAGGCCCCTTGTGCAGGCTAGCTCCCCTTCTTCTCCTTTCCCCCCCCAAACCCTCCATTCTGCTCCTTCCTGGAATTATCCTTCGATGCCCATCGTTTCCTTAGGGCAGCCCAACTCTTGGCCCTTTTGTCAGAAGACGGGGCCCGAGCAACCACCCCTGGCAGCTATTTAGACTGGCCAACAGATGTGGCTTCCGGCTGGCAGAGGAACAACAGGAGCAGCTGGCTTGCTGAGTGCCAGTCACAGACCTTCCACCGACGGCATTCATGGTCTCTTTGCAGGGCTTCAGATGCCTTACAAAGAACAACTCCTCTTCTTGCCACAATCCTCTGAGGTTCTCCAGTCTTCCCAGTCCCATACTGGAGCCCTTTCGTTTTCCCATGATGGCGCTCTGGTGGTCCTTGCCTGATGCTAAGCCTCACACAGCTGATGAAGGCCAGTTCTGGAATTTCCGCTTCAGGAGAGGCTCCACTGTCCCATGACAGTGTTAATATTGTCCTTGGGTGATGGACCTAGAACAGTCTTGCATCCAGAATGAGTCAAATGGGAAAGACGATGACACCCAAAAAAATACCCTCCCCCAAATAAACCATTATTGGGGCAGGGGTATTTATCCTGTTGGTCTCCCCCACTTGATGTATTCTGGATGCAATAACTCTTTTCTCCATCACTCAGGGACAATAACTGTAGTAAAAGAAAATTTGTGTTTTCTAGAAGTTGCTGATTTACTGTTGATCCTACACCAAATTGGACCCCAGATCTAGTGCTATGTTCAGTAGATCAATTCTGGAATCCTAAGAGCCTTGGTAGTACAGTGGTCTAAAGCACCCTGTTATTAAGACCAGCTGCCTGCAATTACTGCAGGTTCGAATCTCTCCAGGCTCAAGGTTGACTCAGCCTTCCATCCTTTCTAAGGTAGGTAAATTGAGGACCCAGTTGTGGGGGCAATAAGCTGACTTTGTATAAAATATACAAAAGTATGAAGGCTATTGCTTAACGCATTGTAAGCCGCCCTGAGTCTCCGGAGAAGGGCGGCATATAAATCAAATTTAAAAAAGGGAGGGGGGCTTGTGTAGTTATTTCAATCCAAGCAGGTGGCAATTCTTTCATCTTTATATGGTCCTTATATGGGACCGTACATTCCACTCCTGCCTTTCATTCTTAAGTACTAATAATAAACACACCTGGGACCCAAAGAGGCTACCTGAAAAGAAGACCCTGGGAGTCAGATGCCAAATCTTAAAAACAATCTGCACTCAGGACATTTTGTAGTTCAAACCCTTGGCATCACAAGATGGCAGATGTACCATAAAAAGTTAAAAGGTTCCCCTCGCACATATGTGCTAGTCGTTCCCGACTCTAGGGGACGGTGCTGATCTCCGTTTCAAAGCCAAAGAGCCAGCGCTGTCCGAAGACGTCTCCGTGGTCATATGGCCAGCATGACTAAATACCAAAGGCGCACGGAACGCTGTTCCCTTCCCACGAAAGGTGGTGCCTATTTTTCTACTTGCATTTTTTTTACGTGCTTTCGAACTGCTAGGTTGGCAGAAGCTGGGACAAGTCACGGGAGCTCACCCCGTTAGGCGGCACTAGGGATTCGAACCGCTGAACTGGAGGGTATGAAATGCCCTCTTTTGACAACACGATAGGCAGAAAGCTTTGGAAAGTTTGTTTATTCACTCAGGAAAAAAAAAAACTGTACAAATATTACAGGCAAGTGTCTTCTGCTGCAAAAAAGTATAAAAATAATCTTTTTTTTCTATGAATCAAAACTCATTTCTCTCCCTTCCCCTCCCCCAAACATTTCCTCTGTGTATGCATCCTTTGGGGGAATGTCACCTAAGGGGGGGTTGGGGCGCCAAGAAGGTGACGGCAAAGAGAAACGAAGGTTTGGTTGCTGAAGAGCAGGCCCAAACCACGTACGACAGGCAGGGGGGGGATGCAATGGAGGCAGGCAAGAGAGTCCAGTGGCTCGCCGGAGACAGCCACACAAGAGCTGGAAGAAGAGCTCAGAAACTCTGGAGGTGGGACTGTGTCCTTTCAAGAGAGGCAAACGGGGCTCCAGAGGGTTTTTTTTGAGACAGTCACCTGCCTGCTCCTAGGCTGGGGAGGTGAAAATCTCGAGATCCGAGGTCTTCAAACTTGGCAGCTTTTAAGACTTGTGGACGTCAACTCCCAGAATTTTCCAGCCAGCGACCACAAGTCTTAAAGTCTGCCAAGTTTGAAGACCTCTGATCTAGATCTATTTCCTATCCAGAAAAACTCAGAAGTCGCTTTTGTGGATCCTATCGCCCAGGTGTTTTCAAGCCTGGGAGCTTTCAAACGGGTGGACTTCAACTCCCAGAATTCCCCAGCCGCTATGGCTAGCCTCGGGAATTCTGGAAGCTGAAGTCCACCCATCTTATAGAGGACAAGGTCGAGGTAGAGGGCCACCCAGCTTTGCCTAGGTCTCCCTAACGACAATAGAAACGTTCCCTGATTACAGGGGGGGAGGGGAACGGAAGGGGAGGGGAGATCAGGATCAGGCCCGCCCGCTCACGTGAACCCTTCCACAATTCTAAGCAGCACATTTCTTCATTCAGTCCCATCAAAAAGAGATTTTTTCAGCCAGGCCGTTCATGGGCTGGGATGTGGGAGAGGGCTTTTCCCCGCTTCGGATCGAAACCCTTCCCACCTTACCAGCCCCACTGCAGGAAGGGGGCCTTCGGCACCTGCGACAGCCTAGGAATCCGGGAAATGACGTTCAGGGTTTGCACAAGCAGCGTAACCCGGAGGCCAACGGGCGGTGAAAAGGATATGGCTTTCAAGAGGGGAGGAGGTTCGGAAGTGCAGAGGGGGAGGATGGGGAAAGCGAGGGCTCCTTCCATCCACGTCCCGAGGATCAGGAGAGGACACCCACCCCCACCCACCCCCAATGGAGAGGCCGATGGTGCGTATTGGAGAGAATGCGGAAAAGGGCACGCCATGGTTAAGTTCCAAAGAGAAGTCGGACTGCGTCAACAGGACCGGCAATGTACTACAGCTAGGAAATCCACGAAGGGAAACAGCAGCCCCCGGCGCATCCCAAAAAGCCCTATTCTAGCAGCTATGGAAGGAGGACCCGCTATTGAGACTCACTTCACTAGGTGTGACTAAATCTCCTCCAGCGGAGGCTCCCGACGGAGACATAGGGGGTAGAGAGGGACGGGTGTGCAAAAATAGGCTTTGTGTTGACGACAGGCAGGTCCCACCTGTTTGAAGCCTTAACTTGTTTCGCACCCCCCCCCTTTTTTTTTTTTAACAAATCGTTTCTCAGTTCTGACTCTTTGGAGGAAAAGTGACTGTGCAAAACTGGCACCTTAAAAACACACACGCACACACACGATTGAAGTCTACGCAGCCTACAAGGGAAAGGGGCTTCGTGCTTTGATGTTAATCAGATGGACCAGGAGGGTTACTTGAAACGCCACTTTTAAGCACATTTAAAAAAAAAAAAAAAAAAAAAACGATCCGGGGAGCGGCTGAGACGCCTGCATTCATTCCATCATGCCAAAAGCAGACGATTGCTAAAGAGAGAAATGCCCCGTCTCGTTTGAATTCTTACGGACGAGCCAAAAGGGAGGCCAGGGGTGGATTTTCCCATAACCCACCAGGCTACGGTTCAGCTGTTCTGCTGGTAACCAGAAAGGAAGAAGGAAGAGAGGGGGAGATGCAAAGTGCCCCCAGCAGTGCAAGGATGCCAAAACAGGCTAGGTGGAGGTAGGGATGGGACTCAAGGAAGCGCTTTTGCTGCTCGGCAAGGTTCAACAGCAGGTGCCTGGGAAGGAGGCTCACCCAGGATCCATGAAAGGACAAGGAGCGGACTAAGATAAGCCAGGGAAGAAGAAGAAGAAAGAAAGAAAGAAAGCTCGAATCGAGAGTCTCATCCTCCTTGAGTTTTCGGTCTAGACCAGAGCAGCTCTGTGTTTCACTCAAGCACTAGCAGACAAAAAAAAAATAAAAAATAAAATCCAAAATGAAGAGTTTGGGGGGGTTTCCCCCACATTCCCTCGAGACAGGTTTTCTTTCTTAAAAAAAAAAGAAGGGAAAAAAAAAAAAAGAAGACTCCATATCCCAAAGTCCGTCCATCCATGCATCCAAGGCAGTCCAAGTCAGAGGTTGAGAATCGGGACGTCGAAAAGGTCGCACACGCCTTCGCTCTCATCCAAGTTGTAGATGTAGTCGTGGTCTCCGGGAGGCGGGGAGAGGCGGAGTAAAGGAGCAAACACTGCCCGGAGAGAGAAAAGGAGACTTTTAGGAAGCTGGTACCTCTTCTGACTCAGCAATTCCACCTACCCCTTAGCCCAGTGATGACGAATCTTTTCGGCACCGAGTGCCCAAACTAGAACACTAGAGCTGCCCAGTGTGCATGCGCGTGCCGGCCACCCAGTATTCTGGTTTCTGGTGCACACATGCGTGCCAGCCAGCTGCTCTTTGTGGGTGCTGGAGTGCCAGAAACTTGAAGACCAGGAGGCCGGCACACACGAAGATCAGCTGGCTGGCGCACATCGGAAATCAGAAGAGCAGCTGGCGACGGTGCACATGCCCACCGAGAAGGCTCTGCCTGCCACCTCTGGCACACATGCCATAGGTTCACCATCACGGCCTTTTAGCCCAATCTCTCTCAACCTCAGCAACTTTTAAGACAATTTCCCAGAATTCCCCGGCCAGCCAGCCAGCCACGCTCAACTAAAACAACACAGATTTTTTTAAAGCTGCGTTCCCTAGTCTTCTCTGCTATCCGACGTGGCCCCCGCTCCGAAGTTGAAGTGGGAGTTGAAGAAATGCAGTCCTACCTTCCGATGACATCAGCTCTTCAAGCAACTCGGAATTCACGCACTCTGTGGGAAGAAGAAGAAGAAGAAAAAGAATGCGCCAGAAGTTTACGCGAGTGCAAAATATCCCGTTGCCCCAAATTTGACGGGTCGTTCTTCCAGCCCAGTTTCTTCTGTCTCAATGTCTCAATTCGCTCCTCTCTTGACTACGTATGAGTAATTGGGCAGATTCTGCAGGCTCCTGCACGAGCAACATCAAAACAATGCATTTTTAGCAGCTGCTGCTTCTTTCCCCAGGGATGGATTTGGTCTACGCAGGTAACCAGTGTTTTTAAGTGTTTTGTTTATTGTTTTTAATTAATGGGGCCAAATTTATATATATATATTTTTAACTGTATTTTAATATTTGTACTTGATGTTTTTACTTGGCTGTTCACCGCCCTGAGTCCTCAGGGAGAAGGGCGGTATACAAATTCAAAATAAAATAAAAATAAAATTAAAAAAAACCAAATGAAATCTCCTTGAAATAACCCTTCGGTAACAGGTTTAAATGTTTTAATCTTTCAGCATATAAAGAGTCCTTCTTACAACCAGCACAGGAGACCTAAGCCGAGAGAAAGTGCTTCCTTCTGTTGCTTATTCTACAAGGGCCCAACAGAGGCCCCAATTCAAATCTGCTTTAAAATAGCCTGATGTCAGCGTCTCAGTGCTGACATAGAAAAGGGAGGATGAAGCCTGAACTTTTGCCTGCTAAATCCCTTTGAAGTTTCAGTCTCCTTGGAGATGAGGAGGGGGGGGAAACATTCCTGTGAACTGACGGGAAAAGGAATCAGGAGAGTGACTTGGAAGATAGCCAATGAGAAGCAGAGAATTGGGGATCGGAAAGGGAGGGATTGGGGGGCAAAGGTCAGTATTGACCGCGAAAGAGCCAGGATCCGGTTGCGGTACTGGAATAAAGAGAAAATTTCCTTAAAGATGGGCAGTTTGGAAGTTCATTTATTTTGAGATAGCATCGAAAGCCTGACGCCTGACTTTTCTGCAACTTCTGAAAGAAAAAAAAGGCAAAAGCACGAACAAGGTTTGCTACAGGGACACTAGCAACGCACCTCTGGTTGGCTCAAACATTTCTGAAAGCTCTTTGGGCAATTCCAGGACTGGAAAAAAAAGAAAAAAAAAAAGAACAAACGTTGCACATCTTAAAGACCAATGGCAATTATTGTGGCACAGGCCAGCTCTGTTTCCAACCCGAAGTCCTTCAGATGTTTGGGGCTGCCGTTCCCCATATGAATAGAGAGACGAATCCTGGAAACAGTCATTCCGACGTATTCAGGAGCCCAGGTAGGGAAAAGGCCAAGAGACAATTCCAGAAACCGCAGTCTGCTAAGAGATCTTGCTTTTATGTCACTCGAAGATTTCCATTGTCTACACCAGGGGTCTCCAACCTTGGCAACTTTACGACTTGTGGACTTCAACTCCCAGAATTCATGCTGGCTGGGGAATTCTGGGAGTTGAAGTCCACAAGTCGTAAAGTTGCCAAGGTTGGAGACCCCTGGTCTACGCCAGTGGTTTTTCCCAGCCAGGACAACTTTAAGCTGTGTGGACTTCAAGTCCCAGAATTCATGCTGGCTGGGGAATTCTGGGAGTTGAAGTCCACAAGTCGTAAAGTTGCCAAGGTTGGAGACCCCTGGTCTACGCCAGTGGTTTTTCCCAGCCAGGACAACTTTAAGCTGTGTGGACTTCAAGTCCCAGAATTCATGCTGGCTGGGGAATTCTGGGAGTTGAAGTCCACACAGCTTAAAGAGTTGTCCTGGCTGGGAAACGCTGTATCTAGACAGCTCATTTCTCCTGGTTATTGATCACTTGCTCTATCTCTGCTTCATTTTAGCAGAACGCCTGAGAAAAGGAGCCAGTACAGACTGTCAAACACACCCAATGACTTTGGAACTGAAAACAGCCCCCACATCGAAGCACAATGCATGGGGTCAGAGCCAAACAAACTCAGCCAGAGGTTCTGTACTGTTTTGATCCATCATAACCGCCCGCCCGACAGCTGGAAAACCCAGCGCACTTACTTTCTGTGGGGAAGGACTTGATTGGTTCAAAAGAGGTAAAGGAGCTGGGTAGGACAGAGCTGCTGTCCAGCAAGGCAGAGGATTGGAGGGGCTGCGTGTCAAGCCCAGCCGGTGGGCTGGCCGGTACAGTCGAAGGGGTAAGCGAGTCCAACTCCTCACTGCTTTTTGATTCTGCTGTCGAGGTGCCCGTCTCTGCAATGGGAAGAGGGTGACAAAAAGAGAAACTGTTATTTAAACTTGCATGCCACTCAATGACCCGTTGTGTAGGATGAATTCCACAGAGCTGGGGAAAAACAGCTGGCGCTCTCATAGCAACCATCAGGAAAAGTACTTCAGAACAGAGGTGGAAGGGACCTTGGAGGTCTTCTAGTCCAACCCCCAGCTCAAGTAGGAGACCCTATACCAGCGTTGGCGAACTTTTGGGAGCATGCACATGTGCAAGGGAGCACCGGAAACCGGAAGAGCAGTTCCCCGGCACACATGCGCATGCTGGAAAGCTGAGCTTCCTGTTTCCCGTGTGCGCATGCATGCCGGTCTTCTGATCTTCTGGTTTCTGGTGCGCATGCGCACGCGAAGACCAGTTGGCCAGCACGCATGAGTTCACTGGAAACCGGAAGGTCAGCTTCCCAGCGTGCGCATGCACCCTGGGGAACTGCTCTTCCGGTTCCAGCGCTCCCACATACGCAAAGACCAACTGGCCCGCACGCGTGTGCACACTGGAACCCGGAAAAGCAGCAGGCAACGGCTGGCTTGTCTGGAGAGATGGCTCTGTGTGCCACTTCCAGCACGTGTGCCATAGGCTCGCCATCATGGCCCTATACCATTTCAGACAGGTGACTGTCCAGTGTCTTCTTAAAAACCTCACCCACAACTTCTGGTGACAAGCTGTTCCACTGGTTAATCGTCCTCACTGTTAGGAAGTTTCTCCTTTACTCCAGGTTGCTTCTCTCCTTGGTTAGTTTCCTTCCATTGTTTCTTGTCTTGCTGCTGTCTGGTGGTTTGGAAAATAAGCTGACACCCCCCCCTCTTTGTGGCAGCCCCTCAAATACTGGAATACTGCTATCATGTCACCCCTAGTCCTTCTTTTCTCTAGACTAGACATACCCAACCATTCTTCATGCTTTTCTCTCCATGCCCTTAATCATCTTAGTTGCTCTTCTTTGCATTTTTTCCTCTCCTGTAAAGAAACCCAAAGTTGACAATCTGCCATTACTCTATGGCTGCCCAAAGGCCATATCGATACTCGTTTGGCTCTCTTGCCAAAGGGCAGTTTTAGTGAAAGGAATAGTCCGAGCAGGGCTGTTAAACAGGCTCCTCTCTCATCCACATTCCCAATTTTCAAAAGGAGTGTTTTTATTTTTAGAGCAGAATTCTCTTCCTTCTCCAGGAAAATGATTAGGGGACTGGACGCTAAACCGTATGATGAATGGTTGCAGGAACTGGGTATGTCTAGTTTAATGAAACGAAGGACCAGGGGAGACATGATAGCAGTGTTCCAATATCTCAAGGGCTGCCACAAAGAAGAGGGAGTCCAGCTATTCTCCAAAGCACCTGAAAACAAGACAAGAAGCAATGGGTGGAAACTAATCAAGGAGAGAAGCAACCTAGAATAAGGAGAAATTTCTTGACAGTTAGAACAATTAATCAGTGGAACTACTTGCCTCCAGAAGTTGTGAATGCTCCAACACTGGAAGTTTTTAAGATGATGTTGGATAACCATTTGTCTAAAATGATATAGGGTTTCCTGCCTAAGCAGGGGGTTGGACTAGAAGACCTCCAAGGTCCCTTCCAACTCTGTTATTCTATTCTATTCTATTCTAAATCTCTCTGAAAGGGTTAGCCGACCTCATTCCAGCTCTTCGGAATGAGTCAACCTTGAGCCGGTGAGATTTGAACTGCCAAACTGCAGCTAGCAGTCAGCTGAAGTAGCAGTGCTGCACTCTAACCACTGCGCCACCTCTTGGCTCTTTTCACTTTACAGCTCACCTGTCGATTTGGGCACAGAGCACCTGTGGTCTTGCGTGCTGCTGGGTACAGACGCAGGAGGGTGGGCACCACTGGGAAGAGAGGCCTCCTGGGACGGGGCAAGGGATGGCTTCTTAGAGGGTGTGATTGGCTGGCACTGAATGAGGTCTTCGGGGGGAGGGACAGGAAGCACCACTGGAGGAGAGCTCCAGGCATCTTTGTTGACTAGAAGAACATCAATGGAATCGTTGCTACTCTTCAAGTGGATCTGGTATTTCCTCTGGCCGTTTAAGCCCTAGAGAGAAAGAAAGAGAGAGGTTGCAGGGACGCAAGTATATTTATTTATTACATGTATTTATATGCCGCCATTCTCCCGAAGGACTCAGGGCGGCGAACACAAGTTAAGAAACAAGTACAATAAAATCCCATTTTAAACCAAATAACTAATTAATAGTAAATAATAAAACCCGGAATCAGAGCCAGCCTATTTGTTTGAACAGCCAAGTCTTCAGGTCCCGATGGAAGGAACGGAGATCAGGAGCCGTCGGGAGCTCGGTAGGTAATTCATTCCAGAGGGTGGGAGCACCCACAGAGAACGCCCTACCCCTGGGCACAGCAAGACGACATTGGCTCGCCGTCATATATATATGTGTGCCCTTCTCCGGAGACTCAGGGCGGCTTACAGTGCGTTAAGCAATAGCCTTCATCCTTTTGTATATTTATACAAAGTCAGCTTATTGCCCCCACAAACTGGGTCCTCATTTCACCTACCTTAGAAAGGATGGAAAGCTGAGTCAACCTTGAGCCTTGGAGAGATTCGAACCAGCAGTAATTGCAGGCAGCTGTGTTAATAACAGGGTGCTTAGACCACTGTACTATCAACGCTCTTATATATGAACAGTATATGACAGTGATGGCAAACCTTTTGGGCACCAAGTGCCCAAACCAGAACGAATGTGCGTGCCAGAGAACCAGAAACCCAAAGACCAGCTGGGCAGCGTGCACATGCCTGTTTTTTGGCCATTTTTGGCTGTTTTCAGGCCGTTTTTGGAGGTGCCTGAAAACGGCCCGAAAAACGGCCTGGTTTTTGGTTGTTTTGGGGGCTGTTTGCAGGCCATTTTCTGGGCCATTTTCGAGGCTGCTTTTGGCCCCCAAACAGCTGAAAAACAGCCTTGAAAATAGCCCCAAAAACGGTCTGAAAAATGGCCAAAAACAGGTTATTTTTCGGGCCATTTTCTTGCTCTGGCACCAGCCGGAAACTAGAAGAGCAGCTGGTGACGGCGCACGTGCCCACAGAGAGGGCTCTGTGTGCCACTTCTGACACGCGTGCCATAGGTTCGCCAATTCACGGGTATATGATGACGGTATTGGTGCAATGACATCACCTGGTGTCATCACATTGTTTAATTGGCATTTGATTGGTAACTTTTTGCAGAGAGCTTTCCCCTTCTTTATTTTACACTTGTAACCTGTCAAATATGTTTGGCTGTAAAAAGGCCCTCAATCATCGAAGCTGCTGCATGTTGGCTTGAAGAGAGCTCTCTGCTAGCATCTCCAAACATCTACACTCACCTCAGGGACGGGAACTTCCAGCTGGGTTCCTGATGGAGCTCGGATGGCCAGTAGTGTGTCGCCTGTAACGAGAAATCAAAACGCTGCAATTCAGGAAACAGAGCTAAAATGAGAGCAACCCAAGATTACGCATTCCTCAGTTCTTCCTTTTCCCAACGCCAGCTGGGCACCATGTTTTCAGTCCCTAATTGCCAGGAAGTTTCTTCCCATCTCCCACGCTCCCAATTCTACCCAGAACGCAAATCAAAGATAAGTTGATCCAAGGAAGGACCAACTTCTTATGAAGATGTTGCAAAGGTGGAATTATGTTAGGCAGGGACACGCCATCCTTACCTGGGAAGCACTTGCAAAGATCCTCATCTGTCACATACGCTAATGTTCCTGAAGTTAAGGGAAAAACCAGCTGCCTCTGAAACTCAGCAAGATCATTCCCCCCTCCACCCCAATAGTATTTTTTTTTCTTTTTACGTCCTTGTAATCCCTTTTTATCGGGGTGGAATCAGGGCGACTGAATGGAGCTGAGCATTTACCGTCCGGATGCCCTTCCAGTGGCCCATGCCAAGTTCGCAGCAAAAATTTACTCTCTGTGCCTTGATAAACATCTGTCACTGCCTAGGATTGAACTCTCAAAACCTGGATTGTTGAAAATCAGCAGTTTTCTGCCATTCCAAGATAGATACGCACAATAAATGTAACATACACCCTAACAAGCCTCAATCCTGTTGAAAATTAATCCTCCTTTTGTCCTACCCTCCCACCACCACCAATCCTGGACAATTGGAGCCCAACAAATGGGCCACCAACACAGGAAAAGTATCTAAGGAAGAACTAGGGCAAAATCAAAAGCAACGATAAGAGAAAGGATACTCATTTGAAACACAAGGAACATTATTTATTTCACGCTATTAGGGCAATGGAATAGAAGAGCCTTTTCTAATTTGATGTTAGCTGTTTTGCTCTTATTGTGTGCAAATTAGGTTACCTGCCTAGAAACGTTTCTAACAGAAAATAGCTTGCATAAAAAAACTAGCTCTATAGAAATTGACATCATCAATGATATAAGGATGAGAGATGCTCTCACACTGAGACTACAAATTCCAGAATTCCCAGCCAACACGACTGAATTCTGGGTACTACTGTCCCAAATATCCAGGTAAAGTTAGGCCAAAGCAGAATCATCAGAAAGGACCTGCGTTTTAGCATCAAAGAAACCCAAAAGCAGGAAGAACCAGACTAGACTCCAAGGATATTCTTTGTTCTGTACATCATCGGTGACATTTCTGATACTCTGCTGCACCCACATCTTTTGCTGTTCCAGTTCTCGTTCCCGATGCTCCAGGTCCTCAATCTCTGCTTTCAACTCAATCAACTTGTGGGCAATTTCTCGAGTATTACAGCCAGGCCCCACACCTCTGTCAAGAACGGGAAACAAGAGAAGTCAAGGCGTCGGCCTTTTCCACAGCGTGTTAAGAATCCGATAACAATGGCCATTTTAATCACACACACTGCCTGCTGAAGAAAAGCCTTCCAGGTTTTCTCTCTTTTAGTTTCTCTCTTTTCCAAAGAGGATTCAGTGACACATTTAATGCACCCATGAAAGAACTCAAAAGACCCTTTTCAAAGTTCTTCTCTGCCTCATATTTTCCCAGGGTGGGTGGGGAAACCCCCTAGTAAAAGTCTCAAAAGTTTTCAAACCTAGAAGATCAATTATCTGATCAAAGCAACAGGACTGAACTTCCTCTTTACCACTCCATTAATATCTATCTATCTATCTCTCTCTCTCTCTCTCTCTCTCTCTCTCTCTCTC